TGGTTATCACCGCTACTACAAGATAGCTCGTCCTATTTTCAGCTTAGTGGGATGAGCTCTCAAACTAGCTCTTCAGCTTCAAGAGAATGTGCCTTGTTATTCTGTGGATACACCAAAAGTAATGCGTTTGAGATCTGAGCACTTGCTAAGATGTCAGAGTTCGTTATTTTTGAGATATGCCATGTGTAAGTGTATGCTGCATCACTGCAAGCCAACTCTGCCACCAGACAAGGTTAGGTTTAATACGTTTTGTATAGCAGTATATATCTTTGATACCAGACAGCAGAAAGGTAAGGTTACCAAATGTATTAAGATATATTTAACTCTACGTACTGCTTCAACTTCTCAGTTGCCATTCTGTTCTTTCCCTGTTCTGAAATCTCTTTGTTAGTCTGAAATAATCATTTCAGATGCCTGCTACTTCCTCCCCTGCTTGCTTGCACCTTTCCTTAGGAGTGAGAACACAATCTTATCTTGAGGCTGGAAGTATGCTGTGGACTGAAATGCAGGACTTGTTAACTGAAGCTGGCCTTCCCCTTGAATCTTCCCTACACTTAACCTCATTTGTTGGAATATTGAGGCTCTTTGAAGACCAAAGTTGGCTTGTTGTTACTGTATGCCTATGGAGGTGGAGTGTGGTTCCCAATGGCACTATTGAAATAAATGGGTTATTTGGAGAAGAGTTAGCTCTTGGTTATTGTCCTACACATCCTGTACATGCATAGCTTGCCCCTTTCTGTGTGTGGGGGAGAGTGCCATGAAGGAGCTATATGTTCAAGTACTCAACTGCAGTATCCGATTGAAGAGTTGCCATTATGTTTGTACTACATAGATAAAAATAATTTATTTTGAAGTTAACCTTATTAATGCACTTCAAAGAAGCATACATTGGAGCAAGGTGGTACTTCTTAAAACTGCAAGAATAATAGTGCTGAATATTGCCGTTATTGGAAGCAAATAAAACTCAGACTCATATGAAATAGGAGTACTGAAAAGTATGATTAGATGTATCTGCTCAGGTTTCTAAAGATTACTACCAGGTCTGTGGAGAGCTGGTTAAGTACATAGCACTACTTCCTCCTTCCAGCTGTTTTTGTGAAAAGAAACAAAAATTACCTATTTCTGAGATAAGTAGTCCTGTAGGTAATCATGGGATGCTGATTTCTTCATGTTTAGAAGTAGGAGTGGAAGTCTTAAGATAATGAATTAATATGGAATCTAATTCATTAAAATGTATGTCCTGGGATCTAATTTATTTTATTTTTTTACATTTCTGGGGTGTATGTTGACTTTATTGCATTTAGTGCAAGAAATACTTCGTTCTGCAACACATGTCCCGGTGTGCTGCTGCCTCAAGAAAGAGAGAGCAGAAATCAACTTTTTTAAAGAAAGAGATCTAGGTGGATTATTTTGTCTTTTTTAACCTATCTTATGTTATACTTATTAGCAAAACAGACCAAAAAAGCTGCATCTTAATTTTTAAAGTGTCAAAATAATTTACGAAATATAAAAACTTCTGTCTTTATCTAAAAGGGAAGCAGTTTTCTGAAATGTAGTAGTACAAGGAGTAAATAGTCATCTGCTGCTAAGCTATTGATGGAAAAATGAACTGTTCAAAATTTGCTTTTGGTTGGAATTTATCCCATTTAAGGTATTATATATAGTTTTGTAGAACTATTGAACAGTTTTGTATTTAAAACTAAGGCCGTGACTAAATTGACCTTGCAAATAAAGATGTATTTATAAAAAGAATCTTTGTCCTTGTGAAGTGGATATAAAGAAGTACAAGTATTAGAACAAGTGAGATCTTAGTTGAGTTGTTCTTTTGTTCCTTCAACTCTCCATTACCACGATGCTGTAGCAGAGTAGCACAGCTATAAGGGAAGCATTGGTGCTGTTGAGATGCCATTGCTGACGTTTTGTTTTTTTTTTTTGGTTTCCAGTACAAACAAGGTACACCTCCTACTGTGATAACTCCCAGGAACTTCTTGAAGTAAATACCAAGGAAATGTGCTTCTCTTCTAGAAGACCAGGAATATTTAAGATGGCTTTCTAGGCTCTCTGGCCCATAGCTATTCCAGGAGCTCCATAGCTTCCTTTCAAGGCTAGCGCATCCGACTGGCAGCTTGTCAGTTCAAGCCAGTAATTTACATCTTTGGTGCTAGTCAAAGCTGTCAGCTTAATAACAGCTTACCAGATATACAAGCTGGAGGGACTTACTTCAGGCCATTAGTATGGGAAGGTTTACCTATTAGATTGATATTTATCACTGAAGATTATTGAAGAAGCTCAATCAGTTTGAAGGAAATCAGTAGTTTGCTTAGCCAACTCTTAGTATGCACAGCATAGATCATCAAGTACTGGAATAAGTAGTGATAGTCACTTCAGATATGGAGCAGTATTAGGTAACTTTTGATTCTTGAGGAGCTAGAGGGCCATCTGACTTTTTTTTAATCTTTTATTAGTTATTTTAGTCAAATGTGGCAGGAGAAGAACATCTCCATGTGGCACAGCAGGAAAGATGAATTTTGCAGTGACTTCTATCACCACAAGGAATGAGTCAATTAAGAAATACCACCAAGTGATACTAATGAATCAGTAATGATCTGTTTACAGTGATGAAGCTACTATGATTCAATACGTTGGGGAAAGGTATACTTTGCAGGCATGTAAGTGACCTGTGATACTACATGGAAAATAATTCTTAGCATTTTTATGCTAGTTCTTCCCCGAGCCACCGAAGTGATTCGCTAGCTTGTAGTGTGGAAGCTTCTTACACATGTAAGCAGTCAGTATACTGGAGTTATTCCTTCCACCCCAGAACTGTAGTCTCCTAGCACAATGTGTAAGGTAGGCTTTGTCTTGCTTGAGGCAAAAACTCAAGAGGAAGTGATCAAAGATGATGGCTGTGTTGTAATCATTGTCTGAACTCTGCCAGCAGAACATGCCACAAGGCTCTAATGGACTGCGGTTTAGAGCTTGGGTTTTGTCTTGTTCTCAAATTAGAATCAGTCTCAAGCGTTTTGTGGTCAGGAAATGCTGCAAGTTAATGAGCATGCGTTCAGCACTTTGATGCAGTGGTGGTTTGAGTCTCCTCAGTCTTTGTAGAGCCTTAGTGATTTCTGGTTAAAGAGCTGATGGGTGTAGTTGTCTAATTGGTAAAGCTGAATAGTATTATGCCACGAGGCCTTAGAATGAGGGAAATTTGCTTTTTAAGTTAGAAATGTAGTGGTATTTTAAACATTAAACCATTTCAACAGTTAATAAGCACTGTTATAAGCTTTCTTACAATATCTTTACTGCTCTGTCTGAAAGCATTTAATTGCTGAAAGCAGGATCATCTACTGTGTGATGAACTGCAGCTCTGATACTGAAACAAAGTTTCAGAAGTTAGCTGTTTTGATAACAGTCAGGACTAATTGTGTTCATTGTGTTGCACATCCATTTCGAAGGGGGATTGTTCTTTCTCTTTTCTCTTTTAAAACCAGCTCTATGTGTCTTTAAAAATGTTTAATGAATAAAATGTGTCCCAGCAGGTAAGGTGTTGTAGTAAGCGATATATAGCTACACTAAAGATCTAGAAGTTACCTTGTTGAGGTCTTAAATGTTTAATTTCTGGTCTGTGTTAGCAGACTTTGAGCTTCTGTTGTATGAAGAGTTTCTGCGTGGTATGGTTTAGTACTAGTGGTGGCAATGGTGATAAGGAGACAGTTGGACTGGATGATCTTATAGGTCATTTCCAACCTTGTGATTCTATGATTCTCTTACTTCTCAATGGAAGTTGTTTGTTTTCTTTTTTGTACTGGAGGAGTAAAGCAAATTGATAGCTTTCTGAGGTGAACACCTGGGCAGTGGAAGAAGTGCAGTTAAGTGCAGTTAATCTGTTTTCAGAAACCAGTCTGGTAAATTTAAAAAGTAAATATTCTCAAACACACTGAAGAAAATATTATTTAAGTCTACTATGTCTTGGTGAGTGCAGGTGAAATCAGGTAAATGCCTTTACCTTGTGTGCTCCTTTAATGCTTATACTTGAAATTGCCTTCTTGGCAGCTCTACAGGGTAGGGTAAGATGGATAAGCTTTTGTTCCTGTTTAAAAATCCTGTGTGTGAACATGTCAGAGTTGTATAAAGGCTAACTTGGTCTTTTTTTTTCCTCCTTTATCCAGTCTTATCAATTTTTTTTTTGAAGTTAAACCAACTGTTAAATTAATAAGAGCACACTTGAAAAACGCTGTAATTATGAAACATTGCTTGTTAGCACTGTTTGGACTGAAATTTTCCTTCTGTGGATCCTATGCCTGCTGAGAAGTTAGAAGGATGTAGTTCTGAGAATGATGGATTCATTGTGAGAAACTGTATTCAGCTGCCTTGTGAAAGCCTTGCTGGGTCTTCAGCTCAAGTGGCATTCCTCAAGAACCTAATGCTGTGGCTTCTTGGGTCCTAGAAACCCACACATACATTCGTAGCCATGGGATCAGTTGACATCTCTTTGGTTCTGCTTTAGAGAGCACATATGTGTTTAATTTCATCCTCGTTAAGCACATCTGCATGTGAACTCTCACGAAGTCACTGGGACTTGGTGGTTACAGGCATTCGGAGGTATTGTAATGAAATGGCAGTGCAGTCCCTAATGCAGATCCACAGTTCTCCCACTATGACATGACAGCTAGTTGCAAGTCTATTACTGCTTTTTATTATTTGCCTTGTTATTTTTGAGCATGCAAGAGTACTGCGGTGATCGCAAAAGCAGCCCACCAAAACAGTTGCACATTGTCTCAAGTGCATGCCAAAATGAAAAAGGTGTTTTTTCCATCTTAAAATTTTGCAGATTTGTGGCTACCACAGCTTTAATGATGAGTACAACTACTCACTCAGGGAAAGAAGTGTTGTGGTGTCTATAGACAAGCAATACTGAGTACATACTTCATGTAAGGCAGTATGTGGGAAGCATTTGTTGCATACTGAGTATCCGAGCAAAACCTTGTGTCCTGTTTCCTCAGGTTCTCAACAGGAGATGTGTAGAAGCAGCCGTCATGACAGGCCTGGCACTCAACTGCACCATAAACAAGAAATCCTTGTTTGACAGAAAACACTATTTCTATGCAGATCTGCCTGTAAGTACGCAGTGTAACCAGTCCCTTTACAGCTGTAGGAAAGGACAAGTCTGGAGTGCGGGTGGTGACAGGAGAAGAATCCTTTCATTCATTCCCTGTTTTTTAGTCAGAGTTCTGCTCACCCCGACAGGATGCCGTGCCCTGATGAATAGACAACTGTACCCTGGTGCTCACTGATGGAATACGATTGCTCTGATTGCTGACTCCTTGCTTAGCTGCACGATTCCGGTGGCTTAATGTAATTGAATTGGGAGCTGAAGCTGCTTTGCCCCTTAAGTTTTCCATTTCTGGTGTTTAGTACTAATTGTTTGTTGGGATAGAAGCAGTCTGATAATAGTCCTTCTTTGACAGTGAATGTATAACAAACGAGTTCCAGTGGCATAAACATCATGGTGTCTTTTTTGTTTGTGCTTAAGGATCTGAAAATATTTAATTTCCCTTTAAAACTTGCTCAGCCTGTTCCAATAATAAAAAAGAAAGAAGGCAACTGAGGGTTGATTGGTGGCTTATGTGTTTGTTAGAAAGTGTCACTTGAAATGAAATGTGATTTGCTGCATTTGGTGTAGGTATAGAAACAGTGAAATAAAGAAGAAACTTTGTTATTGCAACAGGGTGCGGAAGTTTTTAAATCTTTTTTCCTCTAATTTTAATAGAAATTTTTCTTTCTAATTTAACTGTTTTTCTTTCTATCAGCTTATTCTGATTTTCAAGAACCTGTCAAAGAGAGGGACACTAGTTTCACTTAGTCTGATTTGAGGCTGAAGACCTGTTGACTGCATTAGAAGGAAAAAATCTGCCTGCTTTTTTTTTTTTTCTTAATCTGGGAAAGATCAGTCATGTTAGCTTATCTTCTTTTTAGGTGAGGTATCCCAGCCATCCAGAGAAGCAGAATAGGAGATTGCTCAGGTCCCAAATAAGCATGTATAGGTGTTGTATTATTAACCACATTGTTCTTCCTTCCACTCTTTGTTCTGGCATTAGAAACGCTTTGAAGTTACACAAAAAGCTTTCAAATACACTTGTTTCCCATCTTGGAAAGAAAATGATGTTACAGTTGTCTGAGACCTAGATTTTTGTTCTCTCTTCTTCTGCGTTGCAAGTCTTTGCTTCCCTTCTGTGAAGTTAACCTGACTGCTCACGTTGTTTCTGGGGATGTCTTCGCTAATATTTGTGAGACATTAAGAGAGGCCATTTTGTGGGGGCTTTGTAGGGAGCTACTGGGAATGTGAATTATCACTTAGAATTATCAGTACTTTGTTCACTTATAAAACTTTGTAAAAACCCATTTCTAGACCTGAAAGAGAAAAAAATGAGATGGCAAAAAACAAACACAGCTTTCAGAATTCTTTTACGCATCTTTAAGAAACATCACAGGTTTATTTGCATGTTGATATTTGAATGGATGTTGAGACTTTTGATGTTTCTACTATTAAAAAGAAAGCAATCTCAAATACTCTTACGATTTCTCCTGCTATCCCTCTTTTCATACACTCTAATTGAAAAAGTTTTGTCCTGCAAAAGAAACATCTGAGTGTGTGTAAAGGAGAAAAGTAAGATGAAAAAGTGTACAGCATCTTGTGAACAGCCATTGTCTGTGAACATGAATTATAGGAGCCTCTTGTTAAATAAGGATGGAAATTTGGTCAAGGAGATTCTGATTTTATTAGCTTGGAACGCTAGTAATTGAGGCTTTCTAGTGACTCACTTCTATAGTTTAAAGCATTGGCAACAAACCACCCGATGTGCTTTTCACAGAGCAGCAGTCCAGTTGGGAACTGTGTAATAAGATGCAGAGTTTAGGCTAATGAGCTGTATAGAGCTGATAAAATAAATCCTGTTCTTAGGGTCTTTTGACAATGGGATTATTGTTACTTGTGAAAATAGGGCTTTGGATAGGAACTGAGATTCTTGTTATTTATTGTCACTCAGCATTTCAGGCTTTAAAAATTCATTTTAATGAGAAGGTTGAGGAGGTGAGAAGAGCTGTATGGTTAGTATAGCCTGCCTACAGTCAGTTATTTTATGTTTGGGATTCTTTTTGTGTTGATTATGGCTAGCAGGTCATGCACTTCATTGCATATAGAAATTGAGCTATTCAGGTGCCAGGCCATTGTCCTCTTTGCCATTGCACTGTCACCATCTCTAAATCTTAGGGTGAACCCTTCCTCCTAGCAAAATATGCAAAGGCTTTTCCCAGCACATTGGCATCTGGCAGGTTTCTTTTAGTTCTCACTACTGGGGGCGTAACAGGCTAGCGAGGACTAAGAGACAGGGACCCTGCCTTAATGCAGTATTGGAGCCTGCTGTGTAATTTTACATCAGCGCAGTGATTGCAGTCCCTTGTCAGTGGCAGCCCTATCTCTGGCTAGCAGTCTCCTCTTTGCTGGGAGTCCCGGATGTGAGGTAGCATTTGTTAGCTGTGTGCTTTGCGTGGGGTTGCAGTGTTTAGCTTTCAAATTGCTGCGTTAATGTAACTGAGTCTTGTTGTCTTCTTCGTTTTATCTATTTATTTATTTATTTTCCACACTGCCTCGCTCTCTTTCACTCTAATGAGTAAGTTACTGAACTGGCAGCAAGGGAAATTCAGCCTGATAGGAAGACGTGCGATGGTCTCAGCTTTTGGGTTGAGTACACTCACTTCTTCAGACAAAATTGACCATGATCACAGAACCACGAGTGTTCAAAAACCTCTTCTGGCTTATTTGCCTCACCAAGGCAGTATCAGTGAAATTTATATCATTGTTGTCAAGTGGTCATGCAGTTGATTATTGACTGTTTATATGTTAGGATAGTATTGTATGCTTGCTTGTACCAGGGTGAGCTCTTACGTTTTTTTTCCCAGATCTCACAGCTAATTTGGATTCAGGTCCCGTGTTATAGCTTCCTTCATTCCCAACTAAGCAAAATAACATGTGAATTTGCCTGTTTGCATGTGTTCCTTCCTCTTATATTGATCATTGTGGAAGATGTTGCAATTTCAGTTTAATGTTCTTAGTCTACAGCACTTGCATGTGAATGTGCTGCTGCTTTCTATAATGTGAATGTTTTATTGGAGTATAAAGTTGATTTTGTTGACAGGCTGGCTATCAAATCACTCAGCAAAGAGTTCCTCTTGCGGTGAATGGGAGTCTGTCATACAGTCTCTGCACGGATAACAAGATGAGCCAGATGGTGACCAAAACTGTGAGGATTAAACAAATTCAGTTGGAGCAAGACAGTGGGAAAAGTCTCCATGATGATGCAAGGAGCCAGACTCTCATTGACTTGAACAGGGCTGGTAAGCTTGGACTGTGCTGTTATTTTTCTCCTCCTTTCTGTACTAAGATTAGTTTTTAGAAGAAAACGAATGACAGAAAACAAGTGAAAAATAAAAACAGCCTGTTATCTCTCTTCTTGAAAATGAAACCACATTGCACTTCAAGTAGGATAATGTTTAATAGGCCTTTCCTTTTGCAGTTGGTTGATGACATTTTGCAACAGCAATTAGTGATCTGTTAGCTTGAATTGTTCATGCCTGACAGTCCTGTAGAGCCATTCAGCTGTGTAAGTTCTTGCTACTGTAGGTGGTGTTTAAAAAAAAAAAAAAGGTATCCTAGAGCATAAATGAATGAAGTTAGTGTATAGGAGTAGCTGCTGGAATTTGATAGACAGTTCTTTTAATTATTAGCTTTGAAAAATATGTAGATTTTCACTTCAAGCCTTAAAACTGTAAACAGAATGAAGCAAGTTAATGCAAAATAAAAGGCTGTGGCCCGGATGGCAAGCCTAATGGGCATCATGCTTCAGTGTCCATTGAAGTAAAAGGCTGTGGCTGGTCGTGTTCTTTGAAAGGGATACTGAAACTAAAAACTACTACGTGTTTTTACAGTTCTGCCTGTTCCAAACTTAGTTGAAGAGAAATATGTTCGAGTCTGCAATCAGATAGGCTTTTAATTGGAGTTGCCTCAGAGGAGAGCCAAAGAGGAATGTATGTGCCTGTTCTGCATGTCAATCAGAGGGTAGACTACTGTCTGCTGTTTGTCTGCTCATTGAAGAAAAGGAGGAAAAGTCTTTATAGCCATCTGTACCTGAGTCCATTGTGACAGTCACTAAATAATACTTATTTCGTTTTGTTTTGTTCTCAAAAAAAGCCCAAGTGCTTTCACGTGTTTAGCCAGTTATGCTCTAATATGCTGAGATCAAAAGCTGTTGTTGCAAATCTATTGTCTTTCCTGATAGGAGTCGGCCTCATGGAGGTTGTAATGGAGCCTGATATGTGCTGTGGGGAAGAAGCAGCTGCAGCAGTCAGAGAGCTTCAGCTTATTCTTCAGACACTTGGGAGCAGCCAGGCAATCATGGCAGGTACAGAGGGGGAAGGGCATGTTCTCTTGTCACCTGTAATTCTCTGCATTTCTGGGAGTTCTGCAGCTTCTGGTTATTTTGCTCTGCAGTTGCTTATAACCCGTAGCCTTTTATAGCTGTTGTTTTTAAAATCCCCAGAGCCAGCCCTAATGTCTGCCTTGCTTCAGATGTGCTTGTGGGCCTGCTTTCCTCTGCAGAGCTTTGCACTGTTAGATTTTATAGGAAAAACCTAGACAGGAGTGCATGTCCCCAGGCTTCCTCAGGTATTTCTCCCTGTCTGTCCTCATGCTGCTTGTTACAGTGCTGCAGCACATAAGCTATGTGTTAAGGACTAGGTACAGAATACGGAAGCTAGTTCTCTTAGCTCCAACAGAGTGGTAGGAGTATGGATCATCCTCTGAGTTGTCTGTGGAGTCTCGGCTGGCCATAATGTTGATGTAAAAACAGTAAACTTACGATGATGTGTGTGAGATAGAGCAAATGGCAGCTTAAAGCAGATATCAGGGTCAATCTAAGAATCAACCAGATCTCAGCTTTTACCATGCTTGATAGTTTCACACGCTCACTCTGTCCCTCCCCTTCTAGAATTATGTTCAGTAGGTGCTAACTTCCCTTCTACTAGGGAGATCTCTGCTAATCTGGGGGAGCTTGGCAGAACATTGTATTGGTTCATGCTATGCAGCCAGCTTGCAGATATCAGTCTCAGGCATTAGCAGCCAAGGTCCCTAGGCATCCCCAGGCACTTATCTCCACGCATCTCAGTGATGTTCAGGATTTCTCCCACCTTTCTCTAACCATCTTTCTGAGATCTCTTTATTTGGAGAATCCCTCATTTTGCACCAACTCTTTTTTCTGGAACTCTTGATAGTTTTTTCCAGTCTAAACAGCACATGTGCACAGCATGTGTTCAGCCTCCTGACTAATCGTTCTGTCTCCTGTCTCTTTTTTTTAGTTGGATGATTTGGGACGTGCCATTTTTGTGTAGTCCCAATGTTACCAAAATTTGCAACCAACCCATAGTTACAGGTAGCAAACAGGCTTCTGCTCGACAGTTTTAGAAGTGCAGCTTGGGGCATTCATCCATTGCATGTTTATGTGCTGTCTGCTAGTGTTCATAACTTAAGCTGGATGTTTATTTTGGCTTGAGAAGGATGGCTGTACTGATCTGGCAGCAGCATCAGGCCAAAGTTTAAATGATTCAGTTTCCTAGAGAACTGAGTCAGAGTGATCTGTCCACCAAAGACTAACGAGACCCAAGGAATGACAGCTAGTGATGCAAATTCTAATCTAATGTCGGAGGAAATAATAATTGGTAGTCATTATATGCTTATACAGTGCTTCACCTTGCCTGCTTCTTTGTGAATCTTTGCTCCACCAAGTGTTACATCAGGAAGGGGCGCAGTTCTTAGTTTTAAACAGCCAGTTGATACAGTTCTTCAAAGGCCTTCATGGACATTAATGTAAATCATCATTTGTCACTTCTGTATCTGGTCCAAATATTGCCTCTGGAATTACATAGTTGTATCTTCCACTGCATTGAGATTTCTGATGTTATGAGAAAGACTCCAGTGTAAGAAACCTTTTTTTCCTGCATATAGTCAGCTTTTAAAGTATTTGAATTATCTTTCTTAGTGGCATTTTAAGAGCTTTCTACTGTGTTTTACCTCATTGTAATTACTTGTTTTCAAATAAGGATTTTACGTGCTCATATTTTACTTGTTTTATTTGCGTGTTCTGTGAAGACAAGTTTTATACACAGTTAATTCAGTAGACAATGAAAAGATGATTACACTGGAAAATGAAAAGAAGCTGGGATTAAAGTGGGCTTTAAGGAAAAAATCTTTTCTAAAAAAGAATTTGGGGCCAGACTCTCCTTTCATTTTTATCTGATTAACTTAGTTATTATGTCCCACTGACACCTACAGCCAAGTGGAAGCAGGCTGTGTCTCAAGTAGAAGCAAGAACAGGACAAGTATATTCCTGCTCAGTAGCAACAACTTTTACCTCAGAGAGGAAGCACATGCAAAACTTCTCCTGGAAGAGATGCTGGGTCATTCTATAGCCTTTGTCCTTCATTTGTGTTTGGCAAGGACTCTTTGAAGACAGAGGAAGTTAATGCACTGTCATCCAGCCTGCTTCTTCAACATGTACCACATGCTCTTCAGTCCATTTTTATTTGTTCACCACAGTGGATTTTGAGCTGTAGACTTTTTCACAGGTTTAAATCTGTGCTACTTTGTGTTTTCTTTAATAGTGCTACCGACTGGAAACATCATTTACTTGTAATCAAACACAAACAGGAAGGCTACAAAAGTTCCCTCTGCAGATACGAAGAAATTATGTTTAATTATGATATAACCTCTCCTTTTTGTTTGTTTGTTTTTCCCACCACTTGAATAGCTGTGGCAAACCTTCTCTTAATGGAAGGAATGACTTTAGAGGCAGAAACCTTAAAAAGATAAAAGTCCTGTTTACTTGAGGTTGAGTCATCAGATCTCTGAGGACGTTAGCCCATTTTGAACTAGGAGTGTGGGACGTTTTTGTATGTAACTTTGTGTTCAGTTTCAATGTTTGTGGCAGCCAGGGAAATCTGGAGAAGAGAAAAGGCTGTGATTTCTTGAAGAAAAAGAAAACTACAAAAAATCCATAGCTTCTGACATTTTGTCCTTGGGCTGTAAATTTCCAAAGGCACCTTAGTGAAAACTGTTCAACGTAACTAAGTTCTTGCATTCCACAACAGAGTAGTATATATACACCAAATTGTAATTCCAAAATGTCTCTGTGTGGTTTTCACAGGAATGGAAGCTCACAGTGCACTGCTTTAAGTCGCTTGTCTAATTCTGCCCTTTTTTTTAAGGGCAGTGAATCAGAAGCTGTTTTGGCTATGTCCTGCACTGTGCCATGCAGTTTTCTCAGAGAAGAATTATGAACAATAATACCAAAAGTAAAAAGGTTGAATTCTCAGAGAAATTTGTATGATTGGAGGCAGAAGCTTGAAATGGAATCAAAACAGAAAGCTGTTATGAGCAGGTTGTTACTCATTTCTCAGAGTGTGGAAGCTTGCTATTAATGCTCTGCACAGAACATGAAGTTTATTAATGCATGCCAGGGTTTTTACTCTAGTTTACAGGGTGGACTATTTTGTTGATTAAGTTTCCTTTTACAGAGGGTCAGCTGAGAGTGGATGCCAATATTTCTGTGCATCACCCTGGAGAGCCTTACGGAGTAAGAACCGAAGTGAAGAATATCAATAGCATAAGATTCCTGGCAAAAGCAATAGGTAAATGATGGTTTCTTTGTTACTGGAGCACTGTTGGATACTTGGGAATTCTCAGTAAAACTGGTGTCTGAGTCCATTGTTTGGCTTTAAATGCCCTGACTAGCTTTATATGGGTGTCCCATCCATGCATGTTCCCCCTAGCCTAGCAGTTCTCTTCAAGCCTTTAAGACTTTGCCTGACCTAGTCACAGATGTGTGAGTTTCCATTGCTGCCTCCTGATGAACCTTGGACCTGTGCTGAAGCCTTGTTTCCAGTCCATGGTCTGGCCTTTGCTGCTGCGGTCTGACTGAACTCCCTGGGTGCACCCTGGACCCAGTTCACACCCTCACCTTGTCTGAGACTGTCAGACAAGTCCTGCTAGTAGCACATGCATCTGTCCACAATGCTCAGACATGCAAGGGGATTTCCTGTGCTGTGGTGGTCCTTGGCTCTAAGCTTGTCCCACCTTTTGGAGCAGCCCTGTTTTTGCTGCTCCCTGACATAAGGAATCTTAGTTAGGAATACTCGGGGGATAGCAGTCACGTTAGTCTGTAGGTTTAACTTTTATCCCTCTGCCTGTAAGAAGATCCAAGCGGGTGATTCAGGGCTTAGTTTGTTTGGCTCTGAGATACGTTAGCAGTGGCTCTTTGTCCTTCAGTGCAGGTGATTGCTTTCCACCATGTACAGTAAATTGCATGCGTGAAGTTCACATGCAAGTTGGATACGAGCAAGAAAGGATGATCATTACATGTCCAAAATATAACTGGCAAGGAGAATGTGAGAATTCTTGTTCCGTATACTCCACTAAGGGAAAGAAAGGTCACTAGAAATGTATGGCCTGTCTGCAGTGCCTGGGAGGAAATGCTTTCTATTGAAAGGAAAGAAGATGAGGAAAACATGCAAAGAAAGAAATAGTGCTGGAGAGAAAGACAGTGACTAATAATTCTGCCTGCATCTACTGCTGTTGATTTTTATTAAGGTTAAAACAACTGACTTTAACATTATTGCACAGCAGTGGAAAATGAAATAGTGGAGTGTACAAAAGCTAATAGTGCAGTATAGTAAGCTTATTCTTTTTTCTCATGTTTCTGCCAGACTATGAAATACAGAGGCAAATTAAAGAACTTGAAAATGGAGGAACAGTTCTCAATGAAACAAGAGCATTTGATTCTAAGCTTGGGTGAGTTCTTATTTTGGAGAAATATCAGTAATAACAGCTTCAGAGTGCTAGGGGATGCCTAGTGACCAGATCGGGGAGATGACTTGATATCGCTCAACTTGTGTCTTCTAAAGCTAATGATCACAAGCACGCTCTCTTCAATGATAGAAACTTGTTCTTGAAGTTGAGGCTTTTTCTCAGCAGTTTGTGTGCTACCTCGAGCAGCGTCTGGGTGAAAGTGACTGCCCTTGTACATACATACTTGCTCTGAAGTGGCTTTAAGGCACTCCTCTGATCCTCATGAGGCGAGGCTTATGTTTTCTTTTTGTTGGGAATCCAGTGGTGTACCTCTTCTCGTGTCTGACTTGTTTTGTTTTATTTCAGGTGCACTGTACCAATGAGAGACAAAGAGGGAAAGCAAGATTATCGGTATTTTTTTTTTTAAATGAAGTTACTTTTTAAAGAACTGAAAACTTATTGCATATATCATATGTAGTCAGTGTAAAAAGCTTGTGAAGTTGGTGTAATGCGTGTGGAAACTTTCCTTGCAGCGGGAAGAGACCTATCAGAATCAGTATGAGTCTGAGAAGTTCACATCTAGATTCCATAGGATTGGATTTAGCAGTAATGAGACACAAAAGCCTTTCCTAAGCACTAATGTGGAGTATTTCAGCTCAAAGTGGGTGATTTGAAGGTTTGCTTTTTGGCTGGTGCGCACATATTGTTAAGAAGGTCTGACATTAAATGCAAGAATATTCTGAGATGATCACTGTTCCTGCTTTAAATACGTTCTGAGAGAAATGATTCTCATATAGCAGGCCCTGCCTCTTCATGCTGAAATTCTGTGGTCATACACACTGTTTGAAAATCCTAACCACCGTTGAGGAGCATCAGGATTCGTAGGCAGATTTGCTCTTTAAGATCTACATAGACCTACTGAAGTTGTTACCCAGCTAAATACTTACTGCCTTCCCCTGATGTAAGATGGCAGTCATTAGAGTCGATTGCTAAAGATTTGTGTGAACAGTCTATAATCTGCTCTCAGCAAAGTCAAACATACACAGCCATACACAATCAACTAAGGAAAATCTATCCGGAGGGCAAGAGAAAAAGGCATAACTGTCAGGAAGCAGTGCTGCTGGGAATAAATGTTCAGAATGAAGGGTCAGTGCTGCAAAACAACAGCGTATCTGCGAGTGCTCTTGTACAAGAGGTAATCTAAGTGGTGTCTGGATGGGATGGGGCATTAGAGTGCAGCTCAGTGACAGTTCAGGTCTGTGAGCTCCTCTTCTACTGCTCTTTGCATGCCTCCATCATCCTATGGTTAGAGACACCTATCTGCTGAGCAACTTAGTTGTTTCCCGGCTTTTTATCTCAGGTTCAATCTTCCTGTTACTCCCAGAGATCGTTTCCCAGTTGGAGAATTGCAGCTCTGCAGAACTTGGAGAGCCTCTCAGTTCTGTGTTCCTGTTAACTGTAAATACATGCTTACTGATGCAGAGCAAGTATTTTGAAAATAGTCCACAAACTTTGTTGGAATCTGCTTTTCCAAATAGCAATTGTAGAAATGCAGCAGGAAAGCCAGTAGTCGTTTTATGAATTTCTTAATGTGGTAGTTGCTGACTTATTTAACAAGGCTAATTGGAACAAATGCAGAAGAAAAGTTAGGCAAACCTGTGCAAAACTGGCTAGTCTAAGATACTTCAAATGAAGACCAGAGAGATTATTACTAGTGCTTAGATTATGATCAGTATTTATCTGTTTGCTCAGACTTTTGGGTAAATTACTGTTTGGATGTTATGCATCAGACTTAAGATCTATGTTTAGACAGATTTGAAATAAAAATTATAGAGGGTGTTTCATGTCCCTTGTCATGAAATTTTTGAACCCTTCATTTGATCAGGTAAAAGTGAGGTTTCTGCTTCAACTGCAGAGTTATTGCAGTGGTCTGAATTGGCCTTGTCTTTAAGCGAGCTTTTTGTTCTGTGGAGACACCCTGATGAGTGCAGAAACTTTGCTTTTAGCACAGCATGGGATTTCATCAAGGTTTTTCAGGTCCGCATGGAAAAGGTCGCAGCCTGCCTAGATGGCTTCTTGGTGGCTGGCTGTCAATCTGGGTTTCTCCCTGCCAGTCCACTCCTATTTTTGTTTAGATCTGCAGTTCATGCTTGATGTCAAAAGAAATAAGTTTTTTTTCCGTAACTATTGTTTTTATTGCTATTCTTACTATAAAAAAATCCATTTCTATCACTGACTTTGACAAGTAGTTGCAAATACTTAGGAGAATAGGGACTTTTCAACAGCTGACATCCTGTCATGACTTAGTAATATTTTATGAAAGACAACAATGTAATTTCCAACTCAGCATAAAGATATCGTATGTATTTTCTTCTTTCTTGTTTAGCTTTTGACTGACAGTATTTCTGAACAAGTTTTTCTTCATCTTTAGGTTTATGCCGGAGCCAAATCTTCCCCCATTGATTCTATACGATGCTAAGTCTTTGCCAGCTAATGTGAACCATCAGCAAGTGGTAAATATCGATTGGATTCATGAGAGACTTCCTGACCTTCCCAGTGTGAAGAGAGCAAAGCTTGTTGAACTGTATGGGATTCTTCCTGAACACAGCTTCACCTTAGTGGTAGGTCTATTGATCAAGTGCGGAAATAAACGTAGCAACTCCAAAAGTTGGACTGCATTCAAAAACATGCACAAATGTTATTAACCAGCTATCAGTTCTCATGAGTCTTTTTATTTGGAAAAAATCTCCATTTGTTGCCTACTTCTATACCCTGAAACCGCATGTATACATTAGTGGGGGGGAAAAAGAAACCTTGCACTGTGTGCCTAGAAGAAGCATTGCTCATACAAGGTGCAGTCAGATAACTATTACTTTATATCGATCTTGTTTGTCTACACATGGACAAACTAGTGACTGACTGCAACAGATGTACGACTTCCTGCTGACAAATCCTTGCCTGCAAGTGCTTATTCTTATCTCTGGGTGTGGGTTTGATATGAGGATGGGCACATTTTCGTTATTGAACAAATTAATAAGCATACTTTACTGACTGCAGAAGGGAAACACATAGTCTAAATCTCTTAGCTTCACATGCTGTAGTTGATCTGGTCTCCTTTTTTTTTTTTTTTTTTTTTAAACCAACAAAGTCATTAACAGGTAATTACTCAAAATGGCTGTACAGTATTAGCTTTGACCTCACAGTGCAATTTACCTAGGACAGATTGAGAAGAGAGTATCGGGAGGGGAAAAAAAAAAAAAAAGGATATGGCAAATGTGAATGTAAACAAGGAAATGACAGCAAAATCTCCTAACTTTTCAAATTATTCTAAGGACTTCAGGTATCTCAAATGCTAACTGAATCATCTTGGTTCCCCAGTGATACCTGGGGGGCTTTAAGCTACCCACGCTTAGACATTTCGGATAGCTAGCTAAGCTAGGGTGGTGTCCTGCCTTGGTTACCTCTGTGGTTAGTAGAGATAGAAGGAAAAGGACTTCTTCATTTTAAGACTCCAGGTGGAACCATAAGTACTTCAAATTGCCCTCTGGAGTTCCTTTACATTAACTGTAAATGCAGGTAGAGCAGTACACCTAACTACCTAATATCCCTCCTTTGTGTGTCTTTGATACACTTGTAATGTGCACACTGTGTGCATTTTAACACTTGTACAGAAGTTGGTTCTACAGAAAAAAAAAATGGTACTCTCTTTTGAAGTAAGCTGTTAGGAAAGCTGCTTTTGGGCCAGTATGCCATTTTAGTGTGTCACAGATCTTCTGTTTGGTGGGCAAACGTATTGTAAGTCTTACTGAAGTCACGAGGCTGCAGTGATAGCACTGAGAGCTGTCAGTGGTATCTTACCTTTCTATTTCATTGTATAAGTTGCAAAATGTAATCTAGCAGACAGTATTCCAGTTCATGTGTGTTTTTTCACATCAGCACGTTTCTCACAAGTTAGAAGTAGCTCAGGAGAGCAGACAGGTTCTGCACAATTTTGTCTTGGCTTTTTTTTTTTCTTTATAGTTCTCCCTAGTGGGGTGGGTTGTCTTTGGCCAGTGGTGACGCAGCAAACAGTTGTTTGCTCGTTCCTCCCACCAGTGTGATGAAGGAGAGAATAAGAACAGCAGAAGCAAGAGAACTTACAGGTTGAGATAAAGGCAATACTTGTTTAAGTGTACAAAGGAAGGGAAAAAAAAAAAAAAAAAAAAAAAAAAAAGTGTTGCAAAGGCTGCCACTCATCACATTCTGCAGGAGCCTGGTGCCCAGCCAGTCTCTAACTACTTCTGCCCTCAGTTTTTCTTGCTGAGTACAACATTGTAAGGCATGCAGTTTCTCCTTACTCAATTTGGATTTGCTGTTCTAAACCTACCCTGGCCTCTTCACTGTGGGAGTAGAGTGGAGAAAAAGAAAAAATCTTTATGCTCTATAGGTTCTGCTCAGCAGCGAACAAAACACTGATGTTATCAGCACTGTTTTGGTCACAAATTCAAAACACAGCACCCTATGGCCTGCTATGAAGAAAATCAACTTCATCCCAGCTGTGCTCAATACATCCTCTTCTGTCACTTGGTGTCAACCTACTTCTTAGCCTGCTTCAATCTTGATAGTATCGACGGCTTCTGCTGTGTGGTTCTGTCATCTCTATGAACTAGCCCTGTGTATTTGCCTCCTCAGTTCCTACTTCCTTCCAAGAGCTCTCTGAAATCTTCTAGTGCCTTTTCTTTTTCTCTTTTAACTTCTTCCTTTCTGTGGTGTGTAAGATAATTAATGAGCTCCAAGCTGAAATTTGAGATACAGCTTGTAGTAAGGTAATGCATCCATTTGAATGCATGAAGTGAGCACTTCTTCACTGTGAGTCTTTTATTGTGCATTAGGATGTCAGCGTGTAAACTCTCCATAAAACTCTCCATGAAAGTTGCTTGCCTGTTCACTGGGAGACTAGTTAACCTTAATTCATCTGCAAATGGTATGTCCTTTGCTGTGTTAAGCTTACATGGGAAGTTACAGAAGATTGCTGATAGGGCCAGATGCACAAATCTAATGAGTATTCTTTCAGGTTAGAGCACCCAGGAGTGCTCATTAAATAAGTGGTGGTAGTAGAGAGATGACTCTAAAATGCAAAATCTCTGCTTTGTGCCAACTTGTGAAGAGAAAATGTTAAGCCCTAAAGTTACGATAAAACAATAGCATACTTCACAAGTAGTTTCTGAGCTGGCTTCAAGACCTTTATTCTTATACACAAGAACAGCTTATATAAACTGCAGTATAGAGAGTGTAAGACTCCAGCTTTGCCTAATTCCAAGATAGCTGACATGAAAAAAAAAAAATAAAAGGATGTATTGGCATAGATATGAATATGTTGTATTGATTTCAAAAACCATGCTGAGGTTCAACCAAAAGAAAAATAGATCAGTTGTCTCAGTGCAGCATTAGGAAGAAACAATCTGATCACTTCTGAATTCCTTGCCTTTGTACACCTTTATGTTTACTCAGATAAACGTGTCAGTTCTGCTTCAGCTCTCTTCTTTACTGTAACAGTTGGCATTTGTGTATCCTTTGTACAATCAAAATGGGCTGCCAGTGGTTTTGGCCATTTTACTTATATTATGCCACTCTCATATAGTTCAGTCTGTGGCTGAATTTATGCCGCTTTTTAGAACCTAAAGCATTTTCTAACAAGTCAGAAGGAGGAAGTTTGAGCTGTCTTTAACTGCTCTTCTTTTCTACTTTAATAGGGTAGATTTTCTGCTTTTTTTTTCCTTGACAGTCTTGCACATTTTGGTGACAATTGTTACCTCACAGTTGGTTACTGTGGGAACTGCAACGGTGAAAATGGGAAGAAAAAGCAGAAAAAATGAGATTTGTGAACACTGATACGGTTTTTTCCTTCAGTGCTTTGGGCAGCTATTAGTCTTTAAAGGTGTAGGTTTGCATTACAGACCCAGTGTCCCTGCAGATTATGCCCATGGTTGTCTGTAAAACAATGTATTTTTGAAAATACATTTTCAAACAATGTATGTTTGAAACTTGCTTACAAAGCACTTGGAATCACTCCGCTGTTACGTTTTGACATCTCGGTAGAATTAAAAGACGGCGTTAAACCATGTACCAGAAGTAAATTTGAATCTGGTTGAAATATTGGAATGTCATGATTCCTGCAGTTGAGATTCTGATGAATAAGTTGCAACATATTTGGTGTGTAGTGGGAGACCCAAGTGGGGGCATAATTTATAATGCCGAAATAAGGAGGCAGAAATACGCAGTACATACAATTTTTCTGTGTGCTGTCTGTGATGTCAGATTAGTAGAGAAGAAGCTAAATTAATATTTCAGTGAATGGGTTGGTTTTTTTTTTATTTAGGAAGTGAAATGATGGATAGTAGAGCTCAACGTATCAGAGCTGCTCCCTCTGGCAGGTTATTTTTTCCTACAGTTAATGACATTCTTCTGGTTGAAAGTTCTTGAAATATGTTTGGTGGCTGGACGGAGTCTAGAATGACAAAAGTTGACCAAAACGCACAAGAAATTGAAGTTCAAATAGTACAGTATTTAAGATTTGAAGTAATTCAAGTTATTAGTAACTTTTTATATGGCAAGAAAATAAGGAAAATGTTTAATTTTTGTCAGTCATTTTGATGTTCTGAAATTCTGCCTTGAACATTTCACTTCTGGTGTTTCCTACTTTTTGGCTACAGCAAATGACAATCACTTAAAAAAGTAAAAATAATAAAGAACTGCAAAAGAATTTGTCCATTTCTCTGTGCTTAAGAAGCAAGTCTGGGGCTCAGTATGTGGTAGCATACATAAACAAATGTGTCTGATCATTCCTGGGCTTTTCTCCTCTTGCTGCCTGAAAATCATCTGATGGAAATTGGGAGGCTGGGTATGTCTGCCCTTGATTTCTCAAAGGTCTGGCAGAAGCATCAGCGCTGTAACTCTAGCCGGGGTGTTGGTATCCAGAAACCTCAACGTGCCCAGTGCTAAAGGGCTGCTCTCCATCATCTACGTGATAGAAGTGTGGGATGTGCTGCATCTGAGCCGTGCAGCCTGCATTCAGACACGTGGCACCTGCAGACAAAGTTTTTAGGCGCATGATGTAGCTGGACTGCTCAGCCTAGACTTTGTGAAACCTGCAGTATACATTGAAGTGAAAACAACTGCATTTGTACACACTGGCTTTTTCCTACTTAAATTGTACAAGTGTTTTAATGCAAGGTAATCAGCCATTTAAATAATCAGTGTTTGTGCAAATGAATCATGAGGTGAATTAAGAGGAGTACAATATTTGGTAGTTCATCATCTTACTAATTCCATTGCACACATGCACAGTTCTTAATCTCTGATAATAATAAAATTTGTTCTTCTGATATATTTAACTTTATTTTTTACATTTGACTACTCAGTGAATGTGTAAAAGCACAGGACAGGAAAGGGTGAGAGTCTGCTTTTTATCATAGTAGTTTTATAGCACATCAGCCCACTAATTGAAGTAATTTTTGTTCTGTTTTCTGGAACAGAGAGCAGTAGAGTGTGAACTCCTTAAAAGCAGTATCCAGAGATGTTGGAAGTTTGTTTTGTGAAAGTTATGGAGGGTGGGAAGTCCAAAATTTTGTATTGCTGTGGTGATAAATTTCTTTTAAATACAAAGGCAAAGAAGACTGCTTTGACAGGGCTGAGTTTTCGTGGAGAAGTCAGGCTTGGGTTTAGTGTTTGCCTGCTTTCTGTTTTGCTCAGAAGTATTCACAGAGATCCGTCTGCAATTACTGTGTGCTTGGAAGATGGTTTTGCTGTGATGACAGTATGAGCAGAATAACTCAGTGGCTGCTTCTAAACTGCTACCTCTTCAGAGAGCTGCTGAGACCTCCTGTTCATTTATGTCACGCTCTGCAGAAATCTGGTGGCAAGGAGGATTTGGATTCCTCCTGCCACTTAATGTCTCTTCTGCCATCAGTAGAACTAATGAGTTCTGTGCTACAGTTCAAGAACTGCCAGTGCCCTGATATCAAGCAGCAGAGTGATCAACAGGCTGTGCACTATCTGTTCTTCCAAAAACAATCTCAGATTTCACTTACAGTATAAATTGAATCCCCTACTATCATACCCTCTGAGCACTTAGGGTGCTGTGCAAAGCCTTGCATAGCTTCTGTGAAAAATCTAGAAACATAAAACCCCTGTTCTTACAGTGTGACCTTACCATATCATTCAGGGGGTGACTACAAACTAATCTTATTCTGTCAGTCAAAAAAAGACAACTTAAGTGATTGCAACATTAAGAGTGAGGGAGGTATCTAAAAGCAATTTCAGGCAAGGTCTCTTCTTAGTAAATGATAACGTGACAGCGTATGGAGCATTATATTTAATGCCATTGTATGTATTTAAAAACAGGACAAAATGAGAAAGGTTCTCTCCAAACATTAATTCTAAGGAATGTGTAAGAGAGAAAAGATCACTTGATTATTGAAGCTGCCTTTATACAGGCTGACATATAAACTGTATGCATGCATGCTAGGCACAAGTTCGTTTACTCCAGTCTTGCAGCTTTTTTACTTTCTTTAGTTTACTTTAGCATACATACTCTGATTCCAATTGTAATTAATAGTGCTTGCTCTTCAGTATCTGTTTAATGAACTTAATTTTTCTTTAACAGAATGAAGATGGATTAATGGACTTCTTTGAAGATGTGGTGAAACAGACCCAGATGAAGCCGAAGAAAGTGATCGGCTGGATTCTGAGTGACCTACTCAGTCATTTAAAACAACATTCCCTTACAGCAAAGGAAAGGTCAGACTTCTCAGTTACAACAGTGGTGAAATAAAATTGCTCCTTTTCTCATGTACCAAGAACAGTATCATGTCACTCTGATGCTGACTTCTGCTTTAGTTATCATCTGTGAGGCAGTGCTGCTTAGGCCTTGACACTGTCATGATTAATGAAGTTAACCAAATGCCTTCCAGAGAAGAGGGCAATGGTGAGGCATAATCAGGCAGTCAAGATGAAAGCTGAATATAGTGTATCACGAAAAAAACAACCCTAGCTTGTCATGCTAAACTGTGTGACGTTTAGACAAGCAACAGTGGCATAAATCTATTACCTGTCCTCCTCTCTGAGGTAACTCCTGTCCCCCTTTTCCACAGCCCCATCAGTTCTTTTCTCCTTGCTGACCTTCTGAACCTTCTAGAAAACGGAGACATTTCTTCTTCAGCAGCAAAGCAGGTATTTTTTGATATCGTTGTACTTTGAATCTGCTGAAGCTTATTTCATCTGCGTTCATGGTGTACCAATGAATTGGTTGCTTTAAATTCATCAGGGTGCTGATGAAGGATAAATTTTGTGTCTATGCTATGAACACTTAATGGATGAAAATGCCTTATATAGTATAATCCTAGTGATATCTTTGCATACTTAGTGTAATAAGGGAGCTTTAAGCAACAGTCAGTTAAGCCTGCTTCTGAACAAAGCAGATGCCAGATCTCAGTCTAGTAGCTTGAGTAACACCTGAGGAAAGGCTGGTGGGAACTAATCCATGGCTTGCAGTTAAGCTGAGAGTATCAGCTAGTATGTGCAAAAGGATACTAGAGCCTATATTGTCAAGTATTGGTGCATGGAAAAGGATATCAATCACCTGATTGTAGTCACAAAAAGAAGTCTGATGTGGTGCACTCCGTGAGTTTAACACAGACATGTCTGACCTTCTTTTTATCCTGGCTTCTTTGAGCAAGTGCTGCCATGAGTCTCCTAAGCAAGGACTGTCTGTGCAGCCAGTTTTCCCTTTATCATTTTGCTTAGGACAGTCTGAAAAATCAGCACTTCACACATTGATCTCTAAAGTTATGAACTGCTTGTGCATATTAGGCAAAATCTGGAATGCTTTTGCGATAGGGAATAACTGCCATTCACCTCAAATTCTCTATGTGGGATTCATCGTCATTTCAGGTGAGTTATGGTGCTCTGCATTTAAGTACATTAGTTAACCTTTTTACCTCTCTCAAATGCACAGGGCACCTTTCCAGCACAAGTTGATTGAGTCCGAGTGTAACTTCAAAACAGTACAGGCTTTAGTTCACTCTTCACATGATTACAAACCCAGAGTTGCAAATGTGTCTCTTTTTGGGAGACACTTCCTGGTTCTGGGTGTTTTCTTTTGGAGGTGCTTGTGGATCTTGATTATGTTGCCCTTGTAATTGGCCTGCTCCTTGGAATAGCCAGCTGCTTTTTGTGGGCACCATAAATACAGATTTAAGTGCCTGACTTCAGGCATGTGCATCTGGAAATGTTGGACTGGAAAAGTAAAAGCTTCAAAAAGGACATAAAATATTAACAGAGAAATACACTGGGATGCAGAGCAGTTGTGCGCCTTCAGGACAATGGGACACCCATTAGTTTGGGGTTGAGCTCTGAAAAAGGAGCTTAGAACTCCATTCTTCAGTCTGTTTCCTTCTGGAGGTAGAGAGGATACTAATGCCCCTCCATTGGAGTCCTTTCCTTGTAATAAATCTGTACGCCAGCACTTCTGACAGGTTATGAAACGTCAAGAATTTCAGAGATGCCTTTCTTGTTTAATTACAAACTCCTTGTGATGTGCATGTTGTCCTCTGTGTTCTGAAATTGGACACAGAAGTAACAGTGCTATTTGCCATCACTGAGTGATGCTGTCAAACGGCAGGAACCTTGCCACATTTAGAAAAGTATTTTGGTTGCCTGGATGTCAGAGGAGTAACAAATGTTTATAACAATTCTCAGCAGTAGGTCGAGATGCTGGATGGCCTGAGGGCAGAAGGGGCTATATATACACAAAGGCAGATGAAGTGCAGCACTTGGAGTGGAGGAGAACGAATTGCAGTGGTAGAGACAGATCCAACTAGAAGCACTAGCAGGGTTGATGGGGTGAGCACACAGACATGCATACACATACGTGCTCGCAGCAGGAAGCCGTTAGAAGTTTTAATTTGTTAAGAGGATTGTGTTCAGTCTCTGCTGTATAAGGCATTAAAATACAGATAAAAGCTGTGAGTGCTGATTATAGACACAGAACATTGTATGGTAGGATGCGTATGCCAAGGAAAGGGCACAGTGTGCTTACATAATTACCACTTGGGTAATTACAGAGCTCGTGCCCAACTTGCCATCAAATATAGCATCCTACCCCTGAGGCCTCTTAAGTAGTTTCATGCTGGCACGCCTGTACAAAGGGGAGCAGCTCCGCTGGTATGCAGGGCTGTGCAGGGAGCATGTCCTGCATTGGGGAGACCCTGCATAGGCACACACTGTGCATGGCCTTACCGTGGAGGCACCATTTGGATGTCAACAGTAGAACGTAACTCTGGTACACTGAAACTGGTCTGATGGGAGTATGGCTGAGGCGGGACCTCGCTCCTCACCAGTACAGCTGGCAGTATGCACATCTGTGGCTGAAGGGAGCTGCTTTTCAGCGAGGGCATTGTGGGGGGGAGGTGGTTTTTGGGTCAGGAAAGCAGAACGTGGCTTCTGCTGTTGAGAGCTGTGCTGCAGCAACTCTGTGGAAACACCCTATTGTATGTTCACCAGGGATCTGTAGCAGTGTGTGGAGAAGAGCAGGCCCCTTGCCTTGTTTGCTTGTGCAGTTGCATAGGTCACCCAATATAAGAATAACTTCAGTGGACCCACTTGGCACCCCTACTTCAAAGTAGGTAGCAGGAAAATGAGTACAGTACACAAACCTAAACAGAAGCATCTGCTTTGACTATTATGGTTGTACCATCTGGAGCAGTGAGCCCAGCCTGCCCCTCACTTTTGTCAGAGGCTGAGGGACAACTGCCAGACATGGAGGCTTTCCATCAGGGCAGAGGAGAGCAGCCCCCAGGACAGGCTCAAATGGTGCTGCCTGCTGCTTCCCTCCTCTTCTGGCAGCGCATCGCAGTGGATAGGCTTTCCAGTTGGAGCCATTCACAGGCAGAGCATTCAGCTGGTATGATCACCAGCTGCAAAATGTTTGATATGATGCCCGTGGCTGCCAGACGTGCAAGTCCTGATTAATTCATCTTGACCAGTGGTTTGCTGCTATGCCTGTTAGGTGGGGAGAGCAGAACATCATTAAAATCTAATCACGCTCAGCCAAGAGTCAATAGTAGAAATTACTGAGATTTCAGTGATAGAAATGAGGCCTGAGATTCTCATTTTGGCTCTGGAGACTTCATAATTTGATCCCGCTGTTCTGATGCAGACAGTTTGTGTAAATGAGCTGAAATCATTTTTTAAACTGCTTTCTTTAAATTTCTTGCCAAGTAGCCAAGCACATTTTTAAAAATGCATTTTTGACAGGATTTGGGCACATCTCTCTCTGTTTTTTTATATACCTGTAAACAAGCAAGGGCCTTGATGACGATACTGCTCTGGTGGCTAAGTGGATAAGCTCGTTACCAAATTGAAAAATACATACAATGCAGATGTCACGGGGAAAATCTGCTGCCTTGAAGGTTTCTAACGGGCAAGCTTTTCTCAGTGCTGGGAGGTGTTTGGCACAGAAGGAGAAGGGAATCAGAGATGGATCTCGCAGTGTCAGCTGTCCAGCAGCCTGATGTAAGAGTTGCTGCTGGGTAACTCCACCATGGTTGGCTGCTCAGATTTTGTTTGTTGCAAATTTTCCCCTCCTGTAGCCCAGTGTCTTGCTTGCATGCTTACCAGTCTTAAAAATCACATCTGCCTTTTTCCAGAACAATGATATGGCTTCTTCGTTGCCCAGTCTCTGATTCGTGCAGCGCTTCAGACTCTCCAGGGTGTTCTGCTGTGGGCTGTGCTGTGCAGAGAGGCCAGAGCTCCCTTTGAAGGGAGATGTGCCATCCCAGTGCCTCGGGGACAGAAGGCTTTCTGCCAGGTCCCTGGGGAAGGAGGAGCAGCTGGGGCTGCCTGTGGAATGAGGCATGGAGTGCAGCAAAAAGATAATGCTAAGAGCTGCAGGCAGGTTGAGTCTCCGCTGGATGTGTTTGTTTCTAGGGGTGTTTCAGGTAACGTGGGCATGATGGTCTTTAAGTACGGTACAGGAACAGAGGACGTTGTATATAGCATTGATTTTTGTAGGTAAAAGCAGCTTAGAGCTTTGCTTATGGTGGTTATAACTCTGCTTATTGGCAATTTAATATTTTGATCTGCACTTAACCCTCTTACAAGGCAAAAAGAAGATGCAGCTTCTGTGAGAGTTGTGTATCATTACCCTCTCGCTGGGTCTTAGCTCTATGATAAGATCCCATCAAAACCTTTAGGGTATGGCTGCCACACAAATATCTGCTTGCAGGAATTGTGTCAATGCATGGTTCCTATGTACATGTTGTGGCTACAGAACTGTTTAACTGAGGGTCTTTCTTACCACAAAATATTCCAGTGCTGAAGAATATTGCTGGCATTCCTAAAGCACCACCCCACATGTGCCATTTTCCCTAAGTTGTCTCACTGCTTTGCTAATTAACACGCAGTTTGAGTGCCCCTTCTCTTCTCCCCTTCCCAGCCTCTTCTCCATCCTGCATTGAGTATTTAATGCTGAAATGGTGACAGGGCACTATTTCCACAATGGTACACAGCAGTGGTCCAAACATACAATTATATCTTCAGTGCAGAATGAAGCGTAAGCAGCTGTTTTAATAACGGTTTTCTTCCTCTCCTCCCACAGGTCTGAAATAACAGCAAAGGAAATAAGAGCAAACGAAAATCACTGCCCAAGGAAACTTTTTTTTATAAATGTTCTCTTTTCTCAATTTTATTCCAGGGTAACAGCCCTCATACAGCATAGGAACACACACCAACACTAACAATTACTCCCGAGGCTTAGAGTCACCCAGCATTCCTTTTCTGGGAGGTGATGCATAGCTGGGCCTGGAGCTGCTGCAGAGATTTTGCTTGGCACTATTTTTCTTCTGCTTTGTCATATGTATCCTCATGACAGTTAGCTGATTGAGGACTGATAATGAGTTTCCTGGGACTGGACTTGGTACTGCTGTCAGCTAATGGTCAGTTTCCAGGCAGGGACACCACTCATGGAAATGCATTCTTTTACTGCTCTCAGGCAGTGCATACCGTGAGAAGAGCACTGTTGCTCTTGCTGTTACTAAAATCTGACTTCTTATATCAGCAGCTAAAATAGTGCAAATAAATAACATCAGTATGTAAAATTACTGATTTTTGTTGCTCATTGTGGTTTTCAGGTGTTTGAGGAACTGTGGAAGGGAGAAGGGAAGACTCCTCTTGAAATCGTTAAAGAAAAGCAGCTTGAACTGATACAAGATCAAGAAGAACTTGAACAGATCTGCCAGGCGGTGATTGATGAACGAGAAAAGGAGGTGATTATGGTGGTGCTGAGAAGCTTGCACACTCTTTTACTCTCTGGCACTAAAAAGGGGGGTTTAAATGGCCTTTTTTTCTCTTTTAATTGGTATTTGAGCTCTAAAGCCAGTTAGAAGCATTAAAGCTGACGTGCAGCTACCATCAGGTCTTTTCTTCTCCTTTCTTATTTTACTAAGTGTTTTTTTGGAAATTGAAGCTTACACTAAATGATCTGCAGAAGAAATTACCAGTCTGGCTAATGTGCTAAGTCATTCTAGGAGACCATAAAAATGTAATACAAGAAAGGAAAGCTGTAGGGCTCTTTCTTCACCTGTGCAATGCACTGCCCTTAACTTGACCTGGCCACTTGGCCACCTAACTGTCATTTTTTTTGCCATCTCCTGTGATATTAGTGCACCACTGCTACATTGTTCTGAAGACTGAGGCTATCTGCCAGCAAGGCATATAACAGTAATGGACTCAGGGACTTCTGAGAGGTCTAAAATTCTATTCCTCTCTTTACCCTGTCCTCCTCCTCCTTCACAGCCAAATGCGAATTTTTGCTCACTTTCCTGCCTGGCTGTGTCTGTAGGGTGAGAGGAGACAGACCCACGTGGCAGCAGCACTGGAGGCTTGGGGACTGGGAATGCTGCCCTCTGCTCCCCCTTGCTGCAGCTGCAGGTGTAAGGACAGGGTTTCAGCTGTTCCCCATCCCCTCAGAAAGATGCAGCAGCCTGCGTGGCTCATCCATCTAATGAGCTCTGAGCCAGCAATGGGGGAAAAAGCTTGTTGATTGCGAAGGGGAGGAGTGGGAAGAAATCCTGACAGACTCTAACATCTGTTTTGTATAAAAAATGAGAATGAAAACAAGCGCTTGTATGTTCTCTGGAGTGAAAATGTAAAAGGAGAAGTGAATAGCTTACTTCTAATACAAGCATTGTCTGGATACATTTGCCATTTGGAAAAAAACACTGACATCTTCTGAGAACAATACCACCCACCCCAGTTCGCATTGGGGGATGCTAACAGCTCTGCAAGAGCTTTTGATAAAGAAAATGAGCTGGCAGTAGGTCGGCGTGACCTCCATCAGACTGACTCATTTGCAGAGCCTGATAAAAGTGCTTCTGTATTTTCAGACTAGTGTGGAAGCGCAGGCGTAGATACAGAAAGAACATCAGAGCTGATTGGGAAGTGCAGAAGCTGAAGGTCCATAACTACGCTCCCATTTCAATAATAATGCCTTGTCTGAGAATGTCATTCCTCTCTGCTTTTTGCTGTTTAGTCAAGCCAAATGCAGTAGAGCGGCTTCGCTTTCCTCCTTTTTCCAGGTGATCTTTCACTAAGGCAAAAGCTGCCTGGAAGGGCTGTAATTTACTGCTTCGAATTGCTGTAAGAACTTGCATTACAAAATAAGAGTTAGTTGAGTACTTGCCAGGAAAAAAAACCAAACAGGCCTTGCTTTCGTTGGGAACTTTCTTCAAAATGGACAAAATTCCAAAACAACACTGAGCTGTTAATGAAAATGCAGGATCTTGGCTGTACCGTACTCTGCCGCACGTAAGGGATTTCTGTCACGTAAGGAGTAACGAGTCCCTTCCATATTGTGACTTTACAGAGATTTTTAGACTGCCAATAATTCAGATATCCTAACGAGCAGCAGTATTTGCATTTGTGCTTGAAATTGTCACAGTTGGTGGTTCATATGTTAGCAATCCTTCCCTTAGTATCTGTAAATATGACATCGTGTTTAATTGAAGCTATCATGTTTTGCCCAGTAATTCTGACAATGCTGAGAATGCCTTCCCTGCCGCACAAACTGTAGGAGGACATAGTTTCAGTAGTAGTGTCTCCTCTAGAAATGCCTGACAGTGGATTTTTCAGTGCTTTTCTTTTTCATTTCCTTTGCTTAGCCTTTATACATGGATATTTTGTAGGTAACTGTGTGTCAAACAGTAGCTCTCCGATAGGAGGCCGTATTTCTCATCAGTGGATTAACTGCTTTGTTGCAAAGGATCCTTGGCTTCAAGGAAATAATCTCTGTTATGGACTTGAGAAATATTTTTCAAATTGATTGCGATTCAATGAAAATAATTTATTAAAACTGAACAGTATTTTAAGGAAAATGCTCCTACTGGCAACAGAAAGTCACTTGTTTTCCTGCTCTCTCCCAGGAAGTCACTGTCTGAGCTGCTTGTGTTCAAATCCAGAAGTGCTCACTGACTTACTCAATAAAGGCAGATCTTCATTAACTGTAGGGCCTTGCAGTTGTTGAGCAGTTAGTGCAAAGCCGAAGGAAGCTTTTATAATAACACCTTAACCCCCTAAGTACAGTATTTACAGTATTCAACTGTGGTGGCCGTAAAAAACAAAAATACTCATACCTTGTCCAGGAATGACTGAGCGTGTTGTTTTCCTGTTCTTTTTAAAGGTTATGGCGATAAAAGGAGGAAATGAAAAAGTTATCAATAAGTTAATTGGACTGGTTCGGAAAGCTACACGAGGCCGCGCCAACCCTCTTCTGGTGAAGCAAATACTAGAGAAGAAGCTGTCAGAGTAGCCACAAGAGAAACTGGCCCAGCTGTCTACAGAAGACGTGCTTCGTTCTGTCTGGTTTGCTGCTAATGAACGTTGGTGCCTCCTTGTCTGTCAGGATTTTTTTCCCAGACTGGTTATGCTTCAAGGAGCATCATGTTTTTGCCTTTCCCAGCTGCATCGGCCAAAGGTGGATGAGCAAAGGACCACCTCAACAGAAGCCGGCAGTCATCTTACATCTCCTTCATTTCAGTGCAGCATTCTGAAGTGTCATTTCCATATAGCCATAGGGAACACGTTCCCAGGAAAATCTGTGAGTATACAGAGCTAAGTTGCATTGGTTAATTTTGTAGTAGTAAAGCAAGTGTGAATTCAGCTCTTACAGCTTCCTCTTTGTCAGAAGGGAAATGCACAGATCTGGAATGCAGCAGTCCAGTGGTACATACTAATAACTCAATGTTAATTAGAGTGAGTACATTTGTAGCTAAGATCAAAACACCCAGCAGTAATTAAGAATGGCCACATGTACCTTCATGCCTAGCAGAAGGAAGAAAAAAATGCTAGTCCTCATTCTTCATGTCTGAGGTATGGGAAGGGACAAAGGCAGTAGATGAGTCAGCAGTAGACATTAAGTGGCTACGTATAATTAATGCCACATTCTTTGCTTGTCTTCACTTTGTATGTGTCCAAACATCTGCTTTGGCTACTCAGTGCTGTTTCAGTCCTGAACAATTCATAACTTACGTTTACCTGAGCCTAGGGCTTTATGCTGTCACTTGGAACCGCATCCACTCAATGGAAGTAACTCAGATAGCTTACTGAGAACTGAGCAGGATTCAGCTTGGATCCAGGATCTGCTCCACTTATTACTCCTAAGGAGGGTTTTACGTTGTGTTCTGGTTTATAACTTCCATTTTGCAGCCCATAGCTTTAAGCACTCTCTGAAATCAAAGCTCCTGGAGTTGAGTTCCCAGTCCCACCTCACCAACATGTTTAAATCCTTCAGTTGATCAAACTATTAACAGGAGACCCAACTGGAGGCATCCATTCAAATTTACAACTAGTAAGAAAAGAAATCCCATTTACCAGCAGGAGTTTCTTAAATCCCTTTCGCAGGCTGCTAAATGGTACGTTTTAAAGACCACATTTATCTCAGACCTCAGTGTTGCTTCTTCAGAATGGTTTTTGGGGCTATGCCTGCCTGGCACGTGCTGCCAAAGGAGTGCAGCAGGTTGAGCACTGGGATTTTTGTCATCTTCTGCAGAAGTGAAATTTGCAGCACCTAGTTCAAGCTAGGTTAATGGCAATTAATTCTTACAAGTGCTAACGTGTCTCAAAGAGGATATTTCTGTACAAACTGGCTCAAGTTCAACTTGGAACCCTAAATTGGAAGACAAGTAAAAAGATGCTTTTCAAATACATGTAATGGATAAATGTATATCCATAATTCAATAAAAATAACTACACAGTTCGAGGGATGTGGCTGTCAAAAAGGAGTAACATGGTTGCAATCAAAATTCCTGACCCTTAAAACAGCACAAAGCCAGGGTTTTCTTGTAGCCTGTCATTTGCACAAAAACTTTTACTGGCAGTTTCCACAGATTGAGCAAAAAGCACTATTTTCTCTTAGCCAGTGGTGTAAGTTTTCAGTCAATGGAAGGTTGACTGTACAGTCAATAGACTATACAGCAAACTTTAAATTTTAGAACTGGAATTTTGTTCAACCGCTGCCATGGCAGGAAGAAACCAGAAGGCACAGGAGGTTCAGAGGTACTGCTGGGTTTAGAAAAACACAGTTGTTTCCAGAAGGTGGTACTCCAAGGTTAATGCTTTCTGTTGCACAGCTTGATGGGGCTGTGCCAAGCTGATCCTTTAGAACAGTGGCTGCCTCTTCAAAAATAAATAAATAAAGGAAAACGCAACATGGTATTTGGAACAGTAACAATTAAGCTGTCTGTAAGAGAGGGAAGGATCTCCCCTACGGTAGCATGACTACTACTGGTCTGTTTCTTCAGTGGCTACTGCTTCTTAGCCACTCCTTACCTAAATAAATACTCTTTGCTAATATAGTACAAAATCTGTCAAAAATCACGAGCCAAGTTCCTTACGAGTATAGCACTGGATTTACTATAAATCTCAATCTCTTTTAAAATGGATAACAGGGAAGATACAGAGAAACAATTGTAACATTCTTCTCCTTCAAGGGAAGGTAAAGATCAGCCACAGTCTATGAACTTTGAACTATATTAAGAACCAGTCACTAGCTGAATTTTTAAGTAAGTCTTTTGCAGACGCACAAACTGTAAATTTCTTTCTGATATAAAAAAGCGTTTTGAGTCAAAGGAGATGAAGATGGTTAATCTTTTTAACATCTGTGGAGGTACCGGCCATCAGGGTAGAAGTGGTTTTGGTTGATGGCAACAGAATGTAGAGATGAGAACAGGCAGCGTGGCTGGCTTGCTTGATTCTGACTCTCATAGCATCAGCCCTGTTACACAAGCCTGATTGAATGAATACAATCAAGACATGAGCCTTCGCTGCTGGCCAAGAACCTGAAAAACCATCCCAGATGCCACAGCCACCGCCATTCTGTGTGCTACATGGAGCTAAAGGTAAATCCTAAACAAACACTCCACAACTAAGTGCTGTACAACAGCCTGGCTTAGCTTTGTGTAACAATAATCTGCGGAACATGTTAAAAGACAGAAGCAGCTTCTTAGAATTTAGTATCGGCTATCATGAAGACAAATACAAAAAAAAACCACCCACCCCCAAAACCAGCAAGATCAGGTGGAGCGTCTGACCACAAAGCATTCAGTATCAGAACATTTTGCTGACCCACAGGTTGCTTTAGCATGCTTGTATCAAGGCTAGGAAGTTGAGAATTAAGATGGAGGCTTTGACCCTAGCTGTTAAGTCTTATTTAATTACAGCAGTTCTCCCCTAGCTTCTGATTGGAGATGCCATCTGTGCAACAGCCATCAGGCAGGGTGAATTAAGGACAGTTTTGTGCAGATTTTCAGCAGTAGCCGTTCACAACCAGAGGGCCAAGGAAAGCACTCACAAATTAATAGCTGACACCAGACACTGCCATGACAATCTCATCTCATCGTTGATGGAGGTCACCCCGAGGCAGAGAGATGATACTTGGTGTCCTGTACAGCTGAGGTATCCCTTACCCAAGGTTGCAGAAGAGGATGAGAAAGTTGACAAAAAAGATGCTGGCAGTGCTGAAGCAGTGCAAAAAGAATTCCTAGCACTCAGCCTTGGCTGCAGAGTTTAATTTTAACAGCGTTAAAAATAGAAGCATATGATAGGAACCTTAACTACAAATTTACTCTCTTAAAAGTATTCACACTGTAATGCTGCTGCAGCCCCTCTCCACTCTGCTTGTGGCATGGTGTCAGCTCCTGCAGTGTTCTCCTTTCTGCTCTGAGCACCCCCCTACTTATAAATTTCACAATCGCTGACCTCAGTGCAGCACCTTCTCAGTAGTTTATGACCTTGACAGTAAGAGTGGCTTTTTTTCTTTCTTAAACAAGTTTAGTTTTCCACCCACTGTCTAAAACTGCTCAAAAGAAAAGACAGAACCACCGGCTGGGCTTTTCTGCCTTTGCTTCTTGCATCTACCTTGCAACACTGTTAAAAATACTCTACAGTTCATTATTCTCTGCTACACCTAATGGTCTTGTAAAGCCAACTTGCAGCAGACAGGAGGTCAAGATTGATCCTTCCAAGCACGCAGAAGCTTACCTGCATTGGGTTGATTGCTCAATGAAAGCCTCCCCTGCCCCTGCAAGAAGCTGCAGTTTCATATAATACAGATACAAAGAGAGAAATCTATTACTAAGCAGTGGGAGGAAGGCAAAAAAATCTAAACTCCTAAGTTGTCAGGGCCTGTGATTTGCTGCTCCCTTTTCTGCAATGGCAAATTTACACTCCATCCAAAAGTGCCTCTGGGCTAAGCATGACCAGTAATCAGGGATTGCTGTGGCAAGAACAGAAGACTGCCAGCAATGCTCTCTCTTTTCTGTCTGTGCCCCAGCACATGGCCCATATCAGGCCCTACAGCCCGATTTTAAACACAACAAAGCAAACCTCCAGCAGGAGAAGGAGTGCTCAGCTGCTGCCATAAGACAACATTGACTGGCCTTAGAGGAGCTTACAAAACTATTACTTTTCTGGGGCTTTAAGCCTGACAGCGTTCAGAGCTGCACTTGGACTCGGAGCAGCACCAAGAGAAATGAGAGTCCTGGGCACAGGCTGCAGCCAGAAGCACAGAGACCCGAGCCCTCTCTCTCTCCTTGGAGCACAGGCAGGTACCTTGCCTGCGCAATGGCCAAGCTGCTGTTGCAGCGCTGAGTTGTGTGCGGCTTCATTGTCCTGGATTTAACTTATTATTTTTTTGGTCTAAATCCAAGCTATTTTTAAAGGAGACTGTAATAAAGTACAGCTGCTGTGGGATTGGCTTCTTCAGAAATGTGAGTTTGCAGGTATTTAGCCCACAATACATAATCGTATGCAGGCACCCTGCTGACGCGCTGGAGAAAGTTACTTGGTTGAGAAATGCAGCCTTTGCACAAAAGTTCCATCAGGGCTTCTAGCCCAGAGCCTTCAGTCTTAATTTAATCCAGCTGCCACACAAAGCCATTATAATCAATGAACAAAATAAGATTTGCACAGTCAGCAACAACCACCACTTTAAGTACTACGTGTTTAAGAATACAAGTAATGCCTCCTATTCATAAATAAGAGGCTTCCAGCTGAGCATGTAACAAATGAAGTAGACTGACGCAGGGCCACAACATGTTCAGCAAAGCTGAGGCCCCTGAAAAATTAAGCACGTTTGCTCAGAGCTGGGCCTTCACGGATCACGAAGTCACCAAACAGTGCTGCATTCTGCGGCTGCCTTCGCTCCAACAGCCACCACCACTGTCCTGTGTTATCCAAACACCTCCTTATGCAAATCTGACGCTAACAAGGATCAGGCTTTTTTCCTGTTCTTGGCACAATTCTGGTCCAGAATACTATAGCGCAATGCTACCCAACTGGGAGGTTTCCACAGGAGACTGTCATATTCATTTTCTCAAGTTTGCTCTGAACCTCTCCTTTTTGGCCGTTAAATCAGGATAAACACAAATGTAAATTTTCACTGATTCACACAGTTGTGTGTGCCCCCTGCTAACCTGTGGTGTTTCACCCTCAATTTTCTCATTTCTGTAAGCAACCAGAGGGTCAGGAGCCCTCTGTTTCTGCTGATGATGTTCAGAAGGTACACAGAAGACGATGCTATGCTTACCTCAGTCCGCTCTAGATGCAGCAGCAGCATTACTGCACTGGACTGAAGGTATCAGAGTCAAAAGAAAAGGAGGAAGAAAATCCTGGTATTCCATCCACAACTGCAGATGCAGTTTAAATGTTACCAACTTAATAGGAGCTGTCACAAAAACTGCAGGCATGACATAGCAATTTCAGTAAATACAGCACAGTAAATTGCTTATTAAATCAAGCTGCCCTCAAACCAGAGCTGTGGCTGCAAATTCAGATGATACAATGACATAATTTAACCACACCAAATCACACAGCTCCCATCCTTTTCTTCCCAATCCAGAGCTTTTAGAGCCTCTTACAGGAGCTAAAAACCTTCCTGAAGCGTAAAACCTTGTGCGAGGCGTAAGCACAGCACTCAAAACGGTAGCAAGCACTTGTGCACCATGCTAGAGACAGTGCTTCTCTTGGTAAATAGGACTTAACCTTCTAAACCTAAATCCTTGGACAGGAGGTGACGCAACAAGTCTGTCTGCCAGTCTTTTCTCTGAAGGAGGAGTCTGTGTAGCTCTCAGGCCCTGTGCCTGGGCCAAGGAGCATCTGGAGCGGTGCTGGTGGCAGGGACTCCGCTTGGGCACCACCTGCCAGATGTTCTCCAGTTCCAGGCAAGGCTGCTGCCAATCCCCAGAGACCACCCCAGCTGCTGGGTGTTTTTCTCCCACTCTGGGAAATTCACTAACCTTAATAAAAGCATCAGATTGAGTCTGAAAGGCAAATGCACAAAGCAGTTACAGCAGCACATCAGTGAACTTAGCCTTCTCGCAAAGTGACAAACCTCAATAAGAAGGGCAATAATGAGCCAGCCATGCCACAGGAACATCTCAGGGCATTCCCACAGCCGAGCACCACCGAGGGAACCTTCTCATGGCCGCAAGGCAGCAAAGACCAGCAGCCTTCATGTCAACTCTTCCAAAATCCAAGTTCAGACGTTACCTGGACAAATACCTGGAACTACAGCACTAGCAAACATCTTGCTCGCCTGTAAAATCCCATTTTATTTTGGGGCGCATGGAGAAAAGATTAATTTAAGATGGGTCATCAACACAGCACGTGAATCCCAAGTGATGTGTATGCTCAAGGATCGGTACATGTGAAGGATGATGCTGTTTGGAGCAACACTGCTAAGTGCTTTATCCCAGTTATAACAGGAACCGCCTTTGACCAAGATGCCTCAATGAAGAGAGATGGTATAATGCATTATCTAACTGGAAAGAAGGAGCCTATTAAACAAGCATTGGGCTGAAGAACTTACACAGAAAAAGGCAATTCATCTTCAAAGGATCAACATTTTCATGATAAATCACAGTTCCTGCATTTTGAAGACAGGCAGATGCAATCCTTGCCAATATTTTTTCACTGGCTGCTGACATGGTGCTTCTATCACAGCTGAGACCTACCTGCAAGTCCAGTTCAGCTCAACAACCAAGAAATACAGTGTTAAACATACAGTGGCCATTTCTGTAGTCCTAAGCTGGGGTTAGTGCACTTCCCCACCTCCTTATGGGGGCTGACAGATTCCCCTCTTACAAGGGAACGCTGTGTACAAACACAGTTGCAACCTTTCACCAAGAAGTCTTCCACATCATCCTAGTTTTCAGGGGCTAACTTTATTCCACTGCAGCTCATAAGGAAAATCTTTCCATTCCTCAAATGTCCGGGTGCTTCTTGGAGCAGTCTACATTTTAAGAACCCGAAATAACTGCACATCCCTGCTAAGTTGAACATTGCCATGTCTTTGCACAGTTGTTGATAACACCAGGTAAAATGAACAATCTCAGAAGAAATCACTCCCACTCAGCAAACAAAGATTTTTATTTCAGAAGAGAAACAAAATGGTTCACAAAGTAAGCTTACTGCCTTAAGCAATGGTCTGCAGAATTCTTTTTTTCCTTTTTTTTTTTTTTAAATAAATAAAAGATTTCTTTAAAAAACACATGTGATTACCACTGCAATTTAGCGGTTGATTCTGAACTGCTAGAAGTTAGCTTATCACACAGATTCACTGCTTTTGCTTACAAAGTACCCAGCAGGAGAGGAGTGCAGCACACCCTGGCTCTACACTCACAGTGCCAGAACACTTTCCACACACAATGACACTGAACCCCTTCAGTAGGTTGATGAGTCCAGCGTGAAGGACAGCAATGCATGTGGGTAGAAGTGAGAGTAGGGGAAGGACCCATGATTTCGTCTGGATGCAGTGAAGTATTTATGAGTTATATCTTGTCTATAACAGCATCGTAGGAAAAAAATAAAAAAAGGAAAAAGAAAAAAGAGCTCTCCTGAACATGGATAACCAAGATTCAAGAAAAAAACCCCACAGCTTTGGCTCCAGCTTGCAAGGAAGCTTGTGAGGCGAAATAATCATGTGAAGGTCAGAGGTGACTTACAGGATGGTGATGCAATGCTGTTTAAAAAGGAAAAAAAAAACACACACACACAAAATAACAAAGCCATCAAGTTATAAGTGCAAGCACACTAGTGTCAGTTGAGAAGCAGTGTGACCCTTCCACCATGGTGGACGTGATGACTGTACAGCAAACAAGTGGAAGCAGATCCAGATAAGTTGTTGAGGTGATCTTGTGAGAGGTACACTTCGGGATTTTCTTCCCTGGAATAGCCTACAGCAGTCTGACAATGAATGCTTCTCACAGCTTGCACATGAAAGGTAGCATTTTTCAGAGGCATCGAAAGACTTTCGGAGTTTAAATTGCACTGCAGGGTCCACAAGAACTGACCTGTAATTAATTGGACTCTTCTGGGGGTGTTTTTGCTGTTTTTTGTTTCTTAATGTGTTTTGTTCTTTAACTAAGTATACTTCAGATCCTAAGCTTTTCCCTTGCTATCTCTGAGAAAGCATATTTGAAAATTGGGATGTGATTTTGGAGTTTTCCAGAATAACGGAATTACAGTCAGCAGAATTTATTCACACAAATGTTATTTTTTATTTCCATTTCTTTAAATTTCCTGGAGTGGCTGTTAAGTTTATTTCCTGGAAGAAGTGGATGTAAGGCTTTCTTGAATGAAACTCCTCTTTATGGAGCCAACCACAGCACCCTGGAAGCACAATTATGCTACTAAGATAAGACGAAATGCAGTAGTGATGCGCCAATTCATCATGCTTGGGTTCTTCTAATGAAGCCCATTACTCACAGACGAGAATTTTCTCAAGCAGTTAGTCACTAGCAGACAGCTCTCCCTATTGCTGCTTCCTTTTCTGCAGCTGGTGAATAGCCCGCTCCTCCCCTCACCATCCCAAAAGTGCAATACTAGGAAAAGTCAACCCCTAAATGAAAAGTAAACAAACAGTATTCAACTTTTCCCCATAACCCCCCCACAAAAGAGCAATAAGAGAGAACAGCTTTCAGGAGAGTGCAAACGTTTTCCATTAAAATATGGGGGGAAGAAATGATTGACAAAAACAGCCTGCTGTCCTTTTAATACTACTGAAAGAAACTGAATGCCGTTCCTTAGCTTATTAAAATAAGCATAAAAACAAAGAACAAATTAATTACCATTTGCATAGACACACTTTGTTTTGTACTTTGTGCAAATCTTACTAAATAAGGCATGCTTGAGAGTTTAGGTAGCAGCGCAGTAGATATTAAAGAACGCTGAGAAACTGCAAGGAAAATTCCAGGCAGTCTGCAGTCCACATCCACTTACACAGTTCATCTGACTTCAAAGACCAACAGCTGATAGCCGCAGATCTGTCTGCAACATAAGGCAATGCGGTATGTGTAGAGCCCAGCACCTGCTTGCAGCTAGTCATGGGTTTAACACACATAAGATCACTTGAATTCACAAACCTGAGCTACTGGCTAAGGAGGGCTTCTCAGTGGTGTGCTGGCATGAACCCCGTCCCAGGGAAGGGGAGCAGGGAGGAGGACAAAGCCACGGAGAAGCACAGCCCTTCACAGAAAAGGGTTTTGTGCACGTTTTGCACGCGTTTCTTTTCCCCAAACTTTCTCCTTGCGGCAGTGCTTTTCCAGACCAACTGTGCTCTAACAACAGGCTTTTGAGAGGAGTATTTCTGAAGTAAAAAAAGCTGGAAAATTTGCCCCCTCTTAGTCCACCTTATTTAAGTGCCTGAAAATTCAACAGGAGACAGTGGCAGTAAAGAGGGGCACCTGTGTAACAAGGAGGTGAGCTCAGGGAGCTGCTCTAACAGCAATGTAAGAAATCTCTCAAATAAGTCATGTAGCACAGAGGAAAGTTGTAAGGCCCAATATAAACTAATGTGGAATAGCATCCTGCCTCTTCCTTCCCTCTCAAATCAAGTATTTTCAGGAAATAGTGAAGTAGAACTTTCTTTCGTAAGCAGCTTTCCACTAGTAAAAAATAATCAGTTCAAACTCTGACAGTTTTTTTTTCTTCAAAAAAATAAAACCAACCTACTTTAGAAAAACCCACTAATAATAATCCTCAAAGTCCCCCGGTACTTTGTAATATAAAATGGAGTGTTCCTGTGCAAGAGCTGCCAGCTCCTTCAGGAACTCTGGGAAAAGGGCAGCTGCGAGCACAGCATTCCTCACGTGCACGGGAAGGCTGGGGTGAGCCAGGCTCCTCTTTCCCTTGTGTCCCAGGAAAGGCTGGAGCATGGCTGGGGGGGCTTCTGAGAGGCTCCTTCCTCTCCCCACGCTGCTGCCATGCAGGACGTTACCTAAGGCCAGGAAGGAAAAGAAAAAAAAACCAACAAACAACACTCAGTATATCAAACACACAAAGTATTTGTCCAGCAACTAGATGCAGTTTTCAGGGATTGTGTTCAGAGCTGTAGTTCGCAGTACTCAGACTGTGCTGGCAGATACTCCACTAATCCGACAGTTTTAAGTCCTACATGGCCTGCTTCTGTTGCATTTTTTATTAGCCATCTTTCCCCGGGTTATGTATTATTCAGTTGCAGCTCTGATGAGAAAAATATGTGGGCAGGAAAGGAGTCAAGGGAAAGAATAATATGGATTTACCTTATGAAATAACAGATAATATCTACCATTAGTCCCAGCATGGCTTTCTCAATTTAAAATGATCCTATACTCTAGCCCTCCCCCGGATCAAAATATCACTCTGACTTCACTTCTCTCTCCTCCCCCATGAATCACTGTGCAAGTGGGCTTGAAGCCGAGCTATCAAAATTGCCTGGGAGTTTGAAGCAAGCTAAAAACTGAAAGAAAAAACTTTTGAAAATTCATTTTTTAGCCTCAGCCAACTACTCTTCTGCTCCCTGTAAAGAAGCTAAATATTTAAAAGTAATAATTTTTTAAAAAGAACAAATTAAAACCACTACGTGGTCAGCACAGCATTGAGAGCTATATGATCTCTGGTGCCAGAGTTCAGAGGATCAAGGCTCAAGCATCCGGACGCATGGAATTACAGAGACTGCAGCACTTAAATGTCAGTCAGACGCTCCTTGATTCAACTTGAAGTAGAATGCGCTTTAATTAAATGCTGTTCAATGAAACTGAAATGGTGACAAAAACTAAAACTGGTGGAAAGAAATAGGAAGAAAAAAAAAAATTGCAGTACTCACTGCTCCACATGTCACAAGGCCTGGAATCGCAGCCAGATAGCATCCTGTCTGACTTACAAGTGGGTGTTCTCATGAGCTGCATATCATTGAAGTGCACACGCACACCCACAAAAATAAAACCAGACCAAAAAAACCCCTATCATATTAAGTCTCACTCTGCAGATAAGCCAAATACCACATCACCGCCTTCAGAGGTTTCCCTTAAAGCCACTCAGTTGGTGTGAGACCCACTCAGTCCGTGGTTATGTGAAGCTTTTTTTGAAAGCTCTGCAAGAAGCGGATGGGGTACCCCCAGCTGGGTGCCTCTCTCCACGTGGCAGAGGATCCCTCTGCTCACCAGCTCTGCACTCTGGTTTCTTGCCTGGAGTTCTCCTCCAGCATAGTGGACTTTCAACTCCTCAAGAAAAATTTTAATCTTAATCATCTAACAGAACTGTACTTTTCTCGAGTTCCAAAAAACCTTTCCAGCTCCAGAGTTATCAATCATTCATGCTGTTATTCTGCAAGTTTTTATCTACCAGAGACACAGTACAGGAACATCAGTTCTGTGGAAAATTCTGAATACAGGAGGAAAAACAACCTAAATTATGAATTACAATCAAAAGAGGAAGTTCTGAGCTTCCTTTGAAGATTTACTTTGAGAGATTCTCTTACAATCTCAGAACGTTTCCTAAACAATGTAAGTATTTTAAATAGTTTAGCCAACACATTCAGAATGCTAGTAAGCTGCCAAAGCTTGCATATATATACACACATATATAAAAAGCAGAGAAAGATGGTCAAGGGACCAGAGATTTGGTTTTTCTTCAATCAAGATTGTCTGCTTCCTTCTGCAGTCAGGGTGCAATTGCAAAAGTGAGTGCTCTGAGATAGTTACCAGAGCGCTGAAAGACGGGCAGCATTGCATATGGGATCACAACAGTTGTTTATATCTAACCCTAACCCAAACTGCCATGTGAGCAAAACACACAGTGCTGCAAGCAGAAAATAACTGATTGGCATTTTCTGTTTGGATGCTTTTGAAGAATGTCACTACCAAGGGAAGGCAAATGTGCTCTGGAGTACTTCATTTTTACATTTTTGTTCCCCACTGCATCTGGCTTCTCTTTTTCAGATGTGAATTCTGTAGGAATTCTGTAGGAATCAATGCAGTGACCTGCAACGTGCTAAAAGATTATTGAGCCAGCTTGCCCTAAGAAGTACAGTTGGACTGTTTGCATCACCAGACTTGCTGGGAACCAAATGTGCAGTTCCTCAGACATTTATATCCTCTCCATCTATTTGTCAAGAGATACCTTCTTTACAGGGGTTGCCACAAGACTGAAGAAAATGTACCGACTGTCTGACTAAGCAGCCTTGTTTTGAGATCCTAATTAATGATCTGCATGAGTCAGTCTGGCAATTTCTAAAGCCCACAAAAGAAAACTGACATAAAATAAGAAGCACAAATAAATTCCAAAAATTACTATTTTATTTAACTGAGGTACAACTACTAGGCACTAAAAACTTTGAAGCGTAAGGCTTGCAAGTTTATTCAGCTAGATGAATTCCCATTCGGAATGCATTCTAAAGAAGTTTGTACTGCCAGCACCTGGAAAAGGACACCAAATGTTGCCTCCTGATCTTGTTGCATACGCCAGCTACAGTATCATGTAACTGTAAGGCTTCCTCACATTTGGTACCAGGATGTGGAGCCTAACGCCCTGCAGATGTTTGCAATACACAGCTCACTTACAGCACGCATCTTTCACAGACTAATTCTTAGTGAGATGGTAATTTTTGCTGACTAGGTGCTCTGCAAACCTCAGAGATGCACACCACGCTGACTAGAAGCTAGGTAAATTACTATTCAGAGTCTTGCAAAATGAAAACACAATTAAGAAGATGCATAAAAAGCCCTGCTTTCTACACCTCTGGAAATCCAAGAAAAATAATACTAACTTTACAGTGGTAAAGGCGAAGCAGGATGATTGTTAACAATTCCAAATGATGCATGAGAACACATCTCTGAATGCAGCCTCTCTTGAACCCTGATTCTGAGCCCTCAATCCCTGTGGTCACAGCTCTCAGCAAATTCTGTGCATTCCTATCACACGGGAAATTGTTTTTAAGGGAAACCTGCACCCAGTGCTGCTTGCTTAGTGACAAGCTGCCAATTGATGCATCCCCAGGGCAGGGTGCCAGCGATACCCCCATCACCCCGCTGCTTTGGGAAATTTCTCAGTGAGAATGTAAGATTCTTCACCAGGTGTAGCACACTGTCTTTGAGAACCAGACGACATGACACAAGTCCCCAGGAAAGCTGAGGTGATACCTGCTTAACTCCCCATTGTTTTTGAAATGTCCTGACTTATAACACCCATTTATTTTTCTGTTTCATGCTTTCATTCCAGAAAGCACATGTGAAGTTCTCTGGCTCATACCCACCTCCGTCAGTAAAAGCCCAAACGATTATGTGAGCCTTATTCAGTCGTTGCAGAAACCAACTCATTCTGGATTTCTGTCCTCTCTAACATACCAAAAAAAACCCAAAAAAACCAAAAAAACAACCCCACAGAACGACCACCACCAACAAAAACACCAGAACTAACGACTAGCTGAAGGTCAGGCTAAAAATAAAAGAAAATCACGCAATATGCTGTCTCACCTCATGCCTTGAAAGCAAGTTTGTTTACAACCAAAGCAACAGTAAGCCAAGCAAGAGCTGATTTTGTTACTCCTTTGAACAGACATTCTCTGTAGCAAAGACAATAAAAGCTTCTAAAGAGCAAAGCATATCCAGATAGATCCATATACTGCGGCCTACTGAGGATCATCAGTTTAAAGCCAGAAGGCTACATCTGGTTAATGATATGTATAATGCACCACACCTACTTTTAATCATGCTGTAGCAAATGAGAAAGGTAACTGGTGATTCATTCCACCCAGCACTCCTCTGAGTGCAGTTAGCATTTACCTTTGGTTAGCAGTTCTTCAGCGGCATCAGACATGTCCACACGAAAAACTAAGTACTGTTGGGCCTCCAGGAGAAGATGTGGGAAGTCTTTTTCCATAGAAGCGAAATGTTCAATTTTATTTTTCACAGATGCCAGCACCTGCCAAAACAACAGTAACAATTACTTCTTCCTCCCTTGCTCCCAGTGCTGCCACTGACTGAACACTCAGGCTCTCCAGCTGCACAAAAGAAGACTGAACAATAAAAGTTATGGTCATACAGAATTTTCAGCTCTTTGCACAAATATCATTAAAACACTGAAACAAGATGCGAGGCTCACAGATGGGAGGGAAAGCAACAGGTGAAACTGGAAAGAGCTGAACAATTAATGAGACACCAAAAATACTGTTCCGGTAGGCAGAACTAAGGCTTGTGGGCAAATACCTGATAAAGTGACCGTACGCTGGGCTGAAACACCATGTTGGTGTTGAGCAGAAAGGAGCGAAGAAGAGGCTGGGGGTAACTTGCTAGCTGAGTAATAATCCCAATAAGCAGCAAATTCACATGCAAGGAGTTCTCCAGCATGTTCTCCAGCTTGGACAACACCACGCTGATAAATGGTCCTGCAAAGAAGAGAGAAGGAACCAATGCTTCTGTTTTCACAGAAGAAAAACTGCGAGATCCAGGAAATAAGCATGTGAAAGAAATTTTGATCATCATAACCAACCAAATCAAACCTCCTACATGCTAATTAAAGCCAGCAAGGAGGAAAAACAAAACTTATCTGAAGAGACAAAATAGACTCAACAGGGATGTTAAAAGCTTTCATAAGTAGAAGCAATTTGACTAGCAAGCTAGTTACATTAATGGCATATTCAATGTACATAATTATTCTACTTTACGTGTGCCAATAAGGATTTAGCCTCATGTGTTATGGTCTATTATTTCATTCCTTTTGAAGTTAATCAGAACAGTACCACTGAAGAATCATAGCATCCTTAGAGTTAGCTGGGACCTTTAAAGGTCATCTAATCCAACTCCCCTGCAACGCACAGGGACACCACAACCAGATCAGGTTGCCCAAAGCCTGATCCAGCCTGGACTTGAAAGTCTCCACGGATGGGGCGTCCACCACATCACTAGGCAACCTGTTCCAGTGCCTCACCATCCTTACTGTACAAGACTTTTCTTTAAATCTAACCTAAATCAACCCTCTATGGGCTTGAAACCATTTGCCCTTGTTCTGTCACCACAGACCCTGCTAATAGTCCATCCCCTTCTTTCATGTAGTTCCCCTTCAGATACTGGAAGGCTGCTCTCAAGTCTCCCCAGAGTCTTCTCTCTCCAGGCTGAACAGCCCCAGCTCTCCCAGCCAGTCCTTGTAGGAGAGGTGTTCCATCCCTTGGATCATTTTTGTGGCCCTCCTCACACTCCACCAGAACCTGTCCTTTTCACTAGCACTGTGCCTTATTTCCACAGAAGGACTGGTGAAGTACTCTTATAGCTTAGACTTCTTGTCTCACCAAAATAATGAGGTGCTGTAAAGCAACCACAAAAAAGCTACTCTAAACAAAAAAATCAAAAGCTGTGATAGCCACATCACAAGGAAACACATTTTCAATACTGCAGTCACACAAAGCAGAAAAAACATGAAAACAGACTTATAAGCAAAATTATTTGTGAGTGTACTCTTTGTCATGTAAATGTCAGCAATAAACAATAGTTTTGTGCCTTCACGTTGCAGGGCAACCACTAAAATACAGAAGCACTGACAATGCAAGTCCATAAACCCTCCTGCCCAGGCACACAGTGGAGCAGCCTCAAAGCCCCTGGGCTGAGATAGTTTCTCCTAGCCCTACAGAACCTACTGCTTCCTCCTCCTGTGTCCATGGGGATAATTGCAAAGAGCCCCTGAGGACCACAGTGCAAAGGGAGCTCCCGTGGGACAGCAGGGGTTGCAGTAGCAGCAGAGGTAGATCGCGATTTCTCTCATGCAAGTCAAATTCCAAATCTGAGTAGATAAAGCTGAAGTTAGACAATTCGAACAAAGGTATGCCACTTCTCTTGAACTTCCCAATACAAAATTCTTAGTTTTCAATAAATCATTAGAATAAAAAACAGAGGAAGTGAGCAGAGTTTGCAAGTCTGGGAAGAAACAGTATTAACTAGAGAGAAGACAAAAAAAAGTGTTCCTTTCCTGACTTCATCTCCTTGTAGCCATGAAGTCAAGCACTGTTTCTGAATATCACATTCGTTCTTTACTCAGGGGAAAACATGGATCATTGTGATAATGCCCTCAAATTGGACACAGACACCAATGGGACATTTTCTTCACAGATCTGTGAGCCCAAGGAGAGTATCTCTGTACCGCCGAGTCACTGAGTGTGGTACCCTCTGGTTATCTGATTCTGTAGCAAGAAGCCCCCCCTTTATCACATACATAATATAGCATTTCAAATTAAGTAGAACAGCATTATATTTGAAAGGCAATGCAATTTCCCATTTCTGAGGCATTTTTATGAGCAACTCCTTACCTGCAATCACTAAGAGCTACAATGCAATCACTACAGCAAGGTGAATACCTGAAGAGTAAAAAATGTTGTGGACTGGAAGCAGAAAGCGGGTTTTTGCATCGGTTGGGCTCTGTTTAGCTGTTTTCTTTAAAACAAGAAGGGACTGGATGAAGAGACAGGGATGACATTTTTTGAGTTACATTTGACAGCAGATAATGGGAAATGGAAAGGTTTGAACGTGATTAGTCTGTGGTACGAGGAAATGACCACTGCAGTAAAAACAGTAAACGGACTGGATAAACAGGCTGAGGCTTTCAATTAAGAGACAGTGCCAGGCAGGCTGGCCACAGCTGACCAGGAAAGGTCTGCATTTCAATGTACACAAATGAATGCTTTCCTTCCTCTTTCCAAATGAACAAGAAGCCCGATTACAGAGGTCTTCTTTTGGATGAGAAAACCTAGACAAGCTATTGTTATTTTATTATTATTTGCATTACTGTGGTATCCAGGAGACCTAATTAAAGATCAGGAGCCTGCAACGCAAGGAGCTGCACAAACACTGATCAAAAGCACACTCTGCCCTCCCGTAGCAATTTCATTCCTGCTTGGGCAGTCTCTAGAGAACAAACTTAACTTGCTGTCTGGCACAAGACAGAAAAGTCTCTACCCACTGCGAAGGCTGCTGGGGCGTTTGAGGACCAAGGCGCCAGGACAGTTCCCACAGAGAGGCGCGGGCAGATGTGGCACCGGTGCTGCCACCTCGTGCTAAAATGTGAATTAGCAGAAGGGGTGAAAAAGGCAACGTGACATCACAGCTACAGCATGAGAGGTGCCAGCCACCGGAAAGACAAATTATTTACCTGGGCTCTATATATTAGAACCGTTACTACACTCCACTTTCAATTGAAGAAGTTTATCCTAGTGTGCTAGTGCTGGGACACACAAGAAACATAATCTCAAGATTTGTTTGTGGTTTTTTTTTTGTTTGTTTTTGTTTTTTCAAGTAGCCAGAAAAGAACAGAACCACCACCATTTGTTGTCACTACACTGACACTGGCTCTGCTCTACTTCCAAGCTGAATCTCTTTGATTCTCCTTGGGCCAGCCTCAGCTATTTGGGCATACACTCTTTAGTGTCAGGGCTGCTCCCAGCTCTATGCTGGTGCTGTGCACTGCAATTACACTTGGCTACCTGTGATTGCCATGCCTTCCTGTATTTGCTAGGTATGTAACGAACAGGACATTCCACCTGTGAATGGAGCACTCTGACTCCTCATAGCACGCTTGGGAGATGCATCCTCCTTAGGTCCAAAGGGAGATGATGCGCTCTCTGCAGAAGGGGTATCTGCTGAGAAATTCTCAAAGTCCTCCTCCTCTTCTGCAGGAGACACGGGGTCAGGAGTGTCTACCTTTTGCTCCTCCATGCTTGCATTGTTTGGATCCAGTTCCTTAATTATTTTGTCATACTGTGCAATGAAATCCTCACCATCTGTGCTCAGCATTTGTGAGCTTAAGCAATTATCTGCCTCCTGAAGCTTCAAGTCTAAGTCAGGCTGTGGATCAGTCTCCACCACTTTCTGGTTTATTTGTTCTTTCATTACACTTTGAGACAAGCTTGATTTTTTTTCACTCTGCTCATCCACGCCCACTTCCAGCTGGCTGTTAGAGAGAGGCCCATTGACAACAGTCTGGCTTTGGACCTGATGTTCTCTGGACGCATTTGAAGTTTTCTCCTTGGAGCTGTCATCATCCTGTATATCCTTCTGGGCACATAATCTGTAAACCATAACATCATCCTGAAAGTCTGAATCCTCTATGTAAGAACCTTTGACAAGCATGATAGCATTTTTTTTCATCTCCTGAATATGTTTCGGTGGCACTGCGGGCATCTGCGTCTCTGTATTTCCCAGATCATCATACTGCTGGAGCGAGCTCACATCAGAGCCAGGAGAAATCCCTGTGTCGTAGCTATCATCCCATTCCAGCTCCAACTGCGTCTTCTCGCCCGCTGGTGCTGTTTGAGAGGAGCTACACAAGCTGGGTGTCCTTTGCTGGAGACGAAACATGGGGTGTTCCACATCTGTACTGTTCTCCTCAGCAAGCGCTTGGATAAAGGTCTCGGGATCAGGATTTACTCCATCGTATAAAGCAGACCAGACCTTACAATCTTTCAGACACTGGAGGATGGCTTCTTGAGCTTCTCCCAGGTACTGCAGGTAGCTGATATCCACAGCTCTTCCAAATTCCACGATGCAGGCGGATTCAGAAATGCCTCTAACAGAACCTGAAAGTAAAGAAGATTACTGATACCACGACACAATAAAAAAGCCCCCAAGTTCTCTAGCAAGGCAGTTGCTAACATGGCAGGTGGAATCTTTATCCCCAATCATCCAATAAGGCAGGAAGAACTCAATTTAGAGATATGAATGCACTAGAGTTGTTTCTACTGCCAAGTGAGCACTGTAACCCATTTTCTGAGAAATCAGCTCACTCCCAATCTGTAAAACAACAGTGAGCACTCTGAACCTGCAAGTGCCATTGTCAAGTACCTGTACATTATTTCTGTGAATGAATATTTTAACAGCTACCCAAGGTGAATAAGGTTTCAATACACCTGGACCCACGGAAGGAATTAAATAAGCTTTCCAGTGCAGCCTAACTGCCCAGTTTGTTGTTGCCCACCATTTTTGTTCCGCCTGAGCTACTACCAAACTCAATTCAGTTCATGATCTGGTCTTCCCTTGAGCACCAATTACCTTTAGTTTGAGCTGCTTTTGTCCAGAGAATATAATCTTTTCCTTGGCTTTCTAGAGCCAAGGTGATCCCAGTGGAGCAGCAGACCGGTGTCAGGGCAAGCAGTTTTGCAGCAGATACGGAGTAACAATCTCTCTCTTTCACAGCCCTTCGCTGGCTCAACATCATGTGGTTACATGGGATCAGATACCTGAAACAGCAGCCTAGCATTACTACATCCTTCCACGCGAGAGAAAACAAAAACATACAAAAGACCCTTCACACCTTCCTTCCTTCTTCAAAGTAGAATAACAGTAACCTTGACAGTGGTCTATATTCTAAATCTCTCAAGAGCATGAAACCCCAACTCTTTGCATTGTGAAACTACAGTTCAACGAGGAACTGTCAGGACAAGCAGAGATGGGAGATCAGTTGCATCAGAATGGGGGAATGAGCAGCCCTTCACAGGTCAGAGCAAGCCTGCTGTAGGAAGGGATGAAGGAAGCATAGGGTGGGCAGAAGTCAAAGGCTAGCGGTGTGGTTTGGTCCCAGTATGAATGAGTTCTGTCTCAGAATCTTTAATTTATTTGTTTTCCAAGGAAATAGAGACAGAGTCAGTTTACATGTGCCAGGCAAGCAGCCAGCAGAAAAGGTCATCAAGGTGTTTCTCTGCTCTAAATCAAGAGATCTTGGGCAAGAGGAAAAAAGCTACAGGGAAAACAAGGGACAGAGGAAGCACATTGTCATGTTTAATATTTTTAGAGCACTTTTGTTTAATATTTTAAGAGCACTCTATTAAGATCCTTACAGTGTTAACTGTGCTGATGTTTTCCCATTTTAAAAGGAAACCAAATTTTAAAGGATTCTCTAAATAAACAAACAACAGACTGAATACAACTGTACCGCTGGTTAGTAGGGGAGTCCCAACATAACTTGAGGTCACAGATGTCCTAACACCACTCCCAGGCACTCAGGGAATTTCACCTTAATGCCTGTCAGTGGAGGGACTGAAACACTGATGCCTTCCACCGTGTCAGAAGCCTGATTAAGCTACACCAGTACTTCCACAGAAATTAGCAACTCTAATCTAATCCACCCACCAGAATTACAATTGTGTGTTCAGCAGCAGCCTATGGGACAATCAGATAAATGCAAAAATAATCAATGCATTCAGTACATTATATAGCGATCCATGAACAACAGTTCAGGAAGCTGAAGTATTCTTTGGGAAAGAGGAAAAACAGAGGTGAAGGCTGGAAGCATCTACATAAGTTCCTTGTAACGCAGTGCATATATAATCAACTAAAGAAAACATGCTGGAGAGAAAAATTATATGTTTAAAAGCAGGAAATAAGCAGTTTGAGGGTGATAAATACATTCTCAGCTTTTCTTCTCTCATGTTTATAGAAATAAATCACAAGAAGAAATCTCTTATTCCTGAAGATCACAGAACATAAATCACGCTCCTACAGGCCTAGCATGCTTTTGCCAGAATCATAAATATTCTTCTCTCTGTAGCTCCTTGAATTTCTGCTCTCTTGGAGAACGTCCATCTAGCTCTATGCCTATCGTCTGAGTCTCTGTGTCCCAGAATTAGGACAAAGTTGAAAAAGGAGTTTGGGCTTTACCTTAAAACTAGCTGCAACATCACATCTTCACAGTGCAAGCCAATGAGCGTTCTGAACAATGCTAAGGAGACCACACAGAGCTGAAAAATGATAAATGTCATCAGATTTCAATCTGGAAATAGTACCTTTCCAATCTTTCTTGCATTCTGTCTAACAGAATGACTCCACCAGAACGTACCACTTCAAGAAACCGTTAGTATGCTACTTCAGTTTGCCAGCATCCCTACAGGATCTTGTTGCCAACAGCTACACACATACCATTTGACATTTTAGTCATGTATGATTCCAAATTTTCCTTAAAAAAAAAAAAATTACTTAAAGTATTCTCTACAAGGTATTTGCATTAACTTATCTAGAACGTGAAAGCAATAATTTTCCAGTCTTTTCAATTACTTTTTTTTTTTTCTAAATTTATTAGTTTAACCCAGCATGAAGGGAGCCCTGTAACTTCTAAGGTAAGTATTAGGTTTTACTGCTAACTCAGAATTTGAATCAACAAGAGGTTTTTCTGAAAACAAAAAAAAATAAAAATCAAAACTACTTAAAAGTTCCTGCTTAACATACTAAGAATGATGAGTGTTGTGCACATTAAGAAGCTGAATGCTCCTATACCTCAGTGCCTTTATACCTATTGCTGAATTTACTGAAGTAGATCAGGGCTACAACAAGTCATTTTTATCAGAATCTACTCCATATGGATCACTCTCCATCCCCACATTAGAGGCCACCTGGACAGCTGGGAGCTGTGGCATGAAGATCCTCTCTGTGAGACCAGAAGAAAAGAAAGAAAAACAGTACTGCTCACTGGAATTGCATGTGTGTCTTCTTTGGGAAAGGTCTGACTAATATACTCATCAGCAAGTACTTCAGCAGTCACACGCAGCAGAGGCAAAAATCATATTCATTCTGTGACAGGCACCCCACTTCCACACTAGTCTTACAACAGACTAAAAACTTGGATTCACAGGTTTTCTGGTCTCTACTTAAGACACAAATCTTTCAAAACCATCACACAGTGTATTTCTATAAGCTTGCTTGTAGAAATGTGTCCAATACAGTAGAAGAATGATCTCTAAGCTCTCATCGATTTTCACGAACCACAGAATCATTATTTCACTGCCTTTTAATGCGTTTTTCCTTGGGCATTTACTCCCGTGCTGCTCTTTCCTGGAAATAGCATCTTGCAGCTGGCTTAGATTCAGGGCTAGGCTGACTCTTGTGAGAATTTTTTAGCATAAATTGGCTTCCTAGAGTTTCAAGTTGGTGTTTTATTCTTGCTTCTCATTATACTAGTAATGTAAACTCAAATAATTAGTACATGAAGTAAACTGCACTTTTCAGTAGCTAAAAAGGAACCAGATAAAGATAAAGAAAAAACTATAGATATTTCTCTGCCTCTTTTCAGTCAGTGAATGTCCTTTGTAATTCATTCAGGATTAAATCTCACATCATTCCCAGGCATGGCTTCTCTTTCCAACTGTGGAATTTCCACCTTTCCTCTGCAGTCACTCTTCTTCCTCCCGCTGTTAAAATTCTCTGTACTAACTGCGACAGCACGTTGCTGTTCCTCTCCAGCCCATGATTTCACAAGAAGGTCAACTTAAAAGGCACTTTGTTTCGCTATTTCCATTCTCTTTTTCAGCCCAGTGACTCAGCTCCCCTACAGGATGATCAGCTGTCCACACTGAGCACGACCAGAGGAATGCACAGACTTCTTTTAGACTATATATTAGCATATGTATATTTTCCCTTACTTGGTTTCCATCTCTGTGGAACAATTAAATGCTAAATTTTAAATAAGCCTTACTTGATAGCCTCTGAAAAGCAAAAGTTTCTTTGATCACCTTTTCTAGTTTGGTCATTAAACTAACACCCTGAGAAAAACAAGAGAGTGAATAAGCCCCGCACTCAAAAAGCAAGCTGGGATGTGAACACACATGTAGGTAATAAAGCACAGCCAGGCACTGAAAGAAGACGGCCAGAGAAAGCTTATGAGCTGGCCTGCTGTGAGGCAAACCAGAGCTCAAATCCATTGCCCTGCCAGCATTGTCCAAAGCTCGTAACAGAAATCAACAGGAAAGTCCTTGCTAGTCCAAGATCTCATGCCTACAAAAATAGTAAGAGAAAGTAAAAGAGCAGTAAAGAAAGAAAGAAAAAAGCTGAACTCCAGTTCTTAATGGAAATATAGAGGTAGAAGTTGAAGAGCAGCAGAGCAAGCTTGACGAAGAAGTGAGATCCTTATACAAAAGCTGTACTTTTGTGGGGGTAAAATGGGAATTCTTATTTCCTCTGTGAAACTGAGAACCAAGTCTAAATGTTCTTCATAGTGTGAATGTTCAAAACCTGCTAATTCCTTAAATTTTCCAGCATTTAAAAAATTGCAGCTTATAGGAAACCATTTGCAATATGGATGCAAAGAGAAATGAGAAATCAAGAATCTTTCAAAGAAGAAAAGCTAGTCAATTTTTTTGCCTCATAAGAAGAAACGATTCCATGTACTACCAGGAGATAAAAAGTGCAGGACTTCACAAGTGCTTTTTGGCTACCTGTCTGTATGTAAGCTTAATCCTGGGTGAATTATTAAGAAGTATTTTCAAGAGATAACATATACACAGTTTCTGTGCTACAAAAACCAAACAGAAGGCTGCAGTTCTGGCTTCTGCACTTGGCCAAGCTATACTGCGGCAAACTCATTTAGTATCACAGAACCGTTTTGGCTGGGATCCTGAGTTACTCAGCAGAAGGATTCTTTACAATTCCAATCTTGTTTGCCTATGGAACAGTAATTAATGATTATCAGAGACAACAGCATTTGCATTTTTGTAGACAGAAGCTGTTTCAGTTTTCAGATTTAATCCATCTTAGGGATGCAGTAACAGCAGCATATATCCATATTTGCATCACACCCACATTTCAAAACAAATTTCAGACAATGTCTCTAATGCACAAATTCAATGCACATGCTGGTGTTCTGGCTTCTCATGCCCCAAAACATTACACTGTATTTTATCCACGAAGCCGTGCATCGTGCAAGATTCAGCCAAGGCTGCCAGCCAAACAAAGCTCCAAAGGGTCATCCAGTGCAACAGGTATTCACTTGCTGTGCCAGAAGATCAAACTGTTACCTCAGCTAACTCCCAGTCACTGTGGTACATTACATCTATACTGAGAAGGGGCTCACTGCAAATTTGAGATAAACCTTACTGCACAGAGGAGTGAAGAAACAAAAGGAAGGAGCAATCTGATCACTTGAGCAAGAAAGTGCCTTGCCTTAATTAAACAAGATAGCTGGCAGTATAACAGTTAAGCAAACATGCTAGAGCAATGCACGCTTGGTTCCTGAGAACTCCACTGGCAATACTGCAGTTCTCAACTTAAGCAATTTGAAGACATCCTTGTGGAGCTCCCACTGTCTCCTACAAAGATCATTTGCAAATACCTATTGCTTGGCAGAACTGCAAAGATAGAAAGCGTTACTAGCCTTGGTTACGTTCTGAAGTCCTAGGGATGCGTTGTCTTGGCAGCACTAATTCACCATTACCCAAAATATAAATGCTTCCAAGTTTACTTTTACTTCTCAGACAGAATTTAGACCTCCAAAGGCCCTCATCTACCTTTACCCCATTTCCTGTACATGTAAAACCACATCACACATTTATCAACTTCTTAGCACGGCTACAGCTAGACACCAGAACGCAAACAAAGTATTAAAAATCAAAAGGTACACATTAGGATGGGGGAGAAAACTAACTAGATAAACAGGAACTTCCCTTTCCTGTTTAATTAGTTTACCTAAACCCACGTGAAAAACTGAACTTGTTTCCTGCTTATCTTACCCGGAATGGCGTGTTGATGCGGCTAGTAAGTGTATCTAGGATGTGCACGTTCTCATGTCGGTGCAGCAGAATAAAACGGAGGAAAATCTTAAGGAGGGCTGGCTCTGAAACGCTACGCAGAAAGAGATCCAGATACGCAGTAGTGGCCATCACTTCTTCCACCGTCACCTACAGGGTAAAATACGGTCAATGGGAACACACTGCACACACAAAACGTCCGTCTGTCCCTTGCAGCAGCACGATTCCTAGCACCTACCCAAAGCTTCCCACGCATCGTACTGCCACAAAACCATTCAGATCTTTACTTTTTACAAGTAGTATGCTTCTTACTTGTTCACAAACATTTTGAGCCCATTTCCTACCTGTCTTGCTTTCCCAGAAAAAAAAAAAAAAAAAAAAAAAACCCAAACCTCTAACCAACAGCCCAAATCTCACAGATGTTGAAATACAAAGAACTAAATCCTTCCAGAAGCTCCCCACCACTTTTCTGCCACGTCAGCTGTTTTAACTCACACTTCTCATTCTTTAGAAGTGTTCTCAGATGTTGTGAATACATACATCTACAACAATATTAAAAATAAATGACAACAGAGCAAAATCAAAGCACAGTACAAACTCACAGTTCCAGAGTTTTAAAAGAATATATATGAAAAGTATATCTACCCAGAATTTTACCCCTATTTTCCTTCTTTTTATTTTCCCTCCTCTCAGGTTTTAAAAGTGTATGGGAACTACTGAATCGTGGCCTGAACCTCTGATTGATCACCTGAGGCGAGCAATGAGTCAGCCCTGGGAGCACAGGTGAAGGCAACTCACCTGTGCTGCTGGAAGGGGTGGAGCCAGGCTGCACCTCTCCTAGAGCCATTTAAGAGCTGACTGCCAGTGGGGAAGGATCTCTCCAGGAGATCCACTTCACCAGAGTTTCCTACGTGACCCCAGGACAGGGTGAGTATCCTTTTCTGCTCTAGTATAATAATTACATAAGCCAAGCTCTCAAATATATTATATCATCTGTATATTCACTGATTGTACAAAAAGGTACATGATCTATGTCCATACACATATAAACCAAAGACAAAAGCCTCTGCTATTGCCTATTTGTTTATCAGAATACAATTCAGCTATCCATACCAGTTGGTTAACCTGTATTATTCTGATTCAAGCAATCCTTTTGGAGCTTACCTATTGACAGTATGCACTGGCAAGGCACAATAAATTCCAAAGGCTGCCTCTGTACCACACACTGCTGTGCAAAGTCAGCTTCTTAAAAATAGTTACCCAGGAGCCTAATAAGCTTAAGTGTACAAAGATAAACCCTTAAATACAAGAATCTCTCTATATGAAAGGAAGTATTAAACATCTTTTGTTTATCAAACTTAGCCAGATAAATGGAAGGACTGATTTTATTAAAAAAAAAAAAAAAAATCAAAGCTGACACTTAAGAACTAAGAGGATTTAGAAAGTACTCAGAAGGGCAGCACTTACGTAACACCCCGTAAATAATAAAATCCCTGATCCGTTGTGCTGCACGTTAGCTACACTCACAGTAATGTCATGCAGCAAATGTTCCCTTTAAAGCTTTTAAGATCACAAGCTGCTTCTGGCCAGTTACACAGAACATAGGAATGCTGCATGCAGCCCACAGACGTTATGGAGAGGGGCACTGACAAGGAGAGCAGCTTCCAGGGAGTGCTGAAGTTACAGCCATCAATTCAGTTCTTGATACTTTAACACTAAGCTCCTTAACAACAAGCAGTGGACCCCTGTCTTGAATACAGGTCTTTCATGAAGAAATATCTATTAACTTCTACTCTAAAATGGAATACTGTTCATGGATTAATTCCTTTTCCTCCTCCCCCTACAAACATGAAGTGGGGTAAAAAAAAAAAGATGCTAGGTCAAGCACCTCAACTTCACAAATTACCTGAATTAATGTTGTGGCTGCAGCTCTGGTTCAATGCCTGCATTATTTTAAGTATTATGATGAAATGCTTTCTTCTTGTGCACACATACATGCATTCCCTGCCACTTCTAAACCAACATCAGACATACTCAGGAACTGCGTCGGGGTTGTGCAACAGAGAAAATGGTTTCTGGCTGGAGTGGAGATTGATTTTTTTCAACGGTCAAAAGGCATAGGAACTTGTGGGGTAAGAAAAGAGCAGCTTTCTGATTGGAGCTGCTGCCTGCTGTCCTGAGAACTGGCATTGGCTTTTTTTTTTTTTTTTTTTAAAAGCAGCAAACTGTAAAAAGCAAACCCAAGAAATCCATCATATGACATCATAATGATAGCATGGAGTTCAGTGAAGAGTTTAAAACCTCTGCCAAGAAAAGGCCAGACAGGAATAATACATTGTTATGTCTCTGTCACTCCTCCTCCATTCTGTTCAGTGAAAATGAAGCACGTATTTGGCCTGCGGGTTTCACAGATGTTTGCTGACAGCAGAGGAACGGCCCTCTGTGTACGGAGAAAATCTGAAACTGTAAATGAAGGCAAAAAAGCCTGCAGATTCACAAGGGCAGTGACCTTTTTCTGAAATCAATGCTCTTTGGGCAATACGCGCTACGCTGCTATCACCAAGAGAAAGCCACAAGCTTTTCAGAGCTGTATCATGAATGAACCACAAAGGGCAGAAGAAAGCCAGTGAGAGACTACTATAGAAGAGAACCCTTCACTTCTGAGAGTGTGCTCAGTGCTCCTCGCTGCTCAGGGACTAAGTGAAAAAAAAATCCTGTTTATTGTAGCCAACATCTCACTGATACCACTAAATAGAGCTAAAAGCACCAAGTAGTTACTGAAGAAGCTCAGATGGCTCACAAAAAACTAACTTAAAGCTTTGGTAAATCTGAACTGTTTGAATTGAGGCTTTCTGTGCAGGGTTCTACATCACACTTCATGTTTTATTCTTCTTGGGAAAGATGTTGTTGAATCTGCCTATCTATTTTCTGAGACAGAGGGGAGAGACAGTTTTTGCAAGATCTAAAATGGCTTCATCAGAATCTTATGGATTATTGGATTTTCCAATGAAAATGCATTGCCTTAATCAAAACACCCTTTCACAATTTGACACGTTCTATTCTGCAGCATGCCACATCTCACACAAAGCAGGCAAGCCAAGGTTCTTCCAGTACCATTAACACTACCATGTTCTTAAGAGCCCTCTCAGTGCACCTTCATGCAGTTGTCTGTAAGAATGAGCCCAGGGCTGGTCCTTCTGCTTCCTCACAAGAGCAAATCAAGCAGAATATAGCACGTTTTGGCATTTGAAACCAAGTATACAGCTCTGGATCAATTAAGATGCAAGCAGAAATGCACTTTTACAGTCCTATCATATTTTCCTCATCTTACATTTTGGCATGCTTCTCCTTTGTGCTACTGCTGACAGTAAGCAAAATTTCTGACTACTTGAGGCACCAAGAGAAGTGTTCAAGAAGGCTAATTTTAGCTCCATGAGGCCAGTTTGCATTTTACTCAATGGTGTACGTTACCTGCCTTGAGCAAGCCTCTCGAGACCTCACTTTCCTTTGCGATTAACTGAGGAATGACTTGGGAGAAATCAGTCACATTAAGCAAAAACCAGCCTTGGCGAAGACCCTTTTAACTCTGTAAACCTGTTCTACAGATCACATTATACATAATACATTCAGGGTTGAAAGCAAGGCTTGTCCAATTTGTGCAGTTATTATTGAAGATCTGTTTTCCAAAACACCAAACCCAGGGTATTAAGCTTCCTTCAGACTACCCCTGCTGTTGTCTCTCCTTACAATAATGTCTTGTGAGACAGCTTTACAGAAAGTAGGAAAATCCTTTCTAATAAATCCAAATCGGTGCTTAGGTAAACAACAAAAGAACAAATGTTCCCAGAAAACAAAACATTACTGTACACATCAAGAATGCCTGCTACAAACAAAACCCGAGGCGGCTTACAAAAAACTCGTATTGCATTGTAAACATTGATTTCAGTGCAATTTGCCCCAGCTAGCCCTCACATTGAATTTATGTGGACGTTGTCGAAAGGACAAGAAACAACTTCGACATCTCCCCAAGTGTGACATTTAATCTGAAAATTCTTCATCTCCAATAATTTGAGTATAAAGAAAAATACCACTACAGAAGGAGATGAAGAAAATCAAGACATAAAATCCTTTGTTAAGTAACTGAATTTCAAGGTATGCTTCTGAAAAGATATTTCAGCAACATTAAAATCCTTCCCCGTCACAATCGCTAAAATTAAAACCCACCACCAGCATACCTTGGCTCTCTTCCACTGAAATTGCTTGGGAATGGCAAAGAGCAGATATCTCTCTCCTCTTGTATATTTAAAAATGAAAAATGATAAAAATCTATGTCCATTACATTACTCAGACAAGAATTCTACCATTCCTATTTATTATCCATAGCGTACTGATGAAAACTTGCTGGAATTGAAAAAAAATACACGTACAAAGCATATGTCTTCAGATACCATTTAGAAACCTCATCCACATGTTTTTCTTTACAACAACCAGTTGTTGAAGATATTTTTGCAGATGGACTACACAAGAATCTTCACAGCCAGGCAGATATTTGATCAGAGATAAGTGAAAACAGAAGGCCTCTTTTAGCATTCTATTACCCTTCCCTAATTATGTAATAATTTTTAGCAAATCTTTTCTTGCCTCTTTTGATGACTGATTAGATGGTAAGACAGAACACTGTAAAGAGATCCAGCTTTCACAAGTCACAGTGCCAAGTGATAGCAGAGAGCCAGAAATTACTGTCACAGCGAGTTCAGTTTAATATACGACACTCACTGCGTTAGACCAATTGCACTGATTCTTTATTACTGGCTCTTCTCCCTTGGGATCTGCACAATATACTTTCTAATTTACAGCTCTGTGCCCTCCTGTGAGAATATGGCTATCATGATTCCTCCTCTCCCTTCACGCTTTCCTTCTTATGAGCATTTAATATTGCCTATGAAGAGACCATGAATGCTCTCATTATAACTTATCCTCGAGATCCATGAGCAGTTTAAACCTGAATAAACTTATCTCCCTCACATACATGTGTACATAGATATATGTATATAAAAAGACACAAACCATTTCCATCCTCTTCTACTTTCTGTTCATTTTCTACTTGTTCCCCGCTTTAACAGGCAGAAGTGATGATCCTTCACTGCACA